AAAAATGAATCCACTTTTTCCAGATGAACTGGAAAGTAAGAGAGGTAAAATGCGATGTGTATTAAGTTACAAGCTTATTTCACAGGCTATGCAAATACCTATTAACTGCCAAGAGCACAGTTAACTGACACACACAAATCTGAAAAACATGAAAAACAGTAGCTGTGTTGCAACTTGTTTGTAATGTCATTTTCCCCCCCAAATGTGTTAGTATTGTTATGTGTTTCTGTTTTTTACTCTGATGAACTGATGGATTGCTCTCAGTCCTTAAGATGAAACCACTTTCCTTTAATATCCCCTAATGAAACTTAACCGCCGTATCTTCAGACTGTTTTCAATCCATCCTTGAATCATTGTTAATCAAAAAGGGAGTAGAATAATAACCATACTTTTTCTAGCAATCTTCTGTAATCATCCATAACATTGGTAATGGAACATCTTTGCAAGATCTCTAAGATAAGAACTTTTTATTTGTTCCTCCCATATTGATTTATTCCTCCATTCCATACAGATACATAATTTGAAATGACCTCTCAAAGCATATTACAGAAATGTGTATAAGGCAAGCAAAGCAGCATTATATAAAGCCTCTTTAAAAAGTACTGTGGTGCAACACTGATATAATTTTGACATCATGACTGGCATTGCTTTATTTGAATGAATTCTGTTCAAGGGGATACTTAGTTGTAATGACAAAAAACAATGCCATATAAAGAGAGCAACTAATGGTAAAAGACATTCCTGAAGAAAGTGAGGGTCTTTGTTTAGGAAGCATATCTGTTTTTCTGCAGTTTTGGAATATGTATTGAAGCATGCTTAGTATGACAAAAACAATAACAGTATGGACAAACCATGCTGATTTTCTAGTTGAAGAAATATGTTTGTTCGTGAAGCCATTATGCATTGGAAACTGGGCTTCACAGCCTATTCAGCCCTGTCCTTAAGTGCTGCAATTAATTGCAAGCCTTTGATTGTCAGAGATAGCAACACTTTTTTTCCTTCTCTCCACTGATATCTCCACCCCACTGATACCACTGTTAAATAGCACACAACTGACATCACATCTCTTGCCACTGAGACTTGGACTGAACCAGCAGAATGTGCACACCTAAATACATTTGGGCCAATTTAGTAAAAACTAACTTATTGAACAGCATAAGACAGGACAAGTGCCAATTTGGGAGGTTTAGTTAAACAACAATTTTAGACAAGCTCAGAAATTTGCTACTGAAACTATCTAAACCAGTATTAGCTTGTGTGTATAAAAGTTGCCTCTTTGTTTCTTTTTTGGGCCACTGCTCTTATACTAGGTCTTTAAGTGCTCCAGAATTCCTAAAAGCCTCTTATAAATCAAATACATTTGAATATGTCCTAAGTAATTTTTTTTAAATAAAAGGCATAGCAAGCTTATCAAGTGTTTTTTCAGTTCTGTCCCTAAGTCAGTCTTAACTGGGTAAGATATTGCACAAAAGACTGGTTGCTGTTGCTGTGTTACCTTGAATACCATACTCATTAATTAAAAGTTTCCAATGCTCTTTTTAAAAATGTGTGCACATTCCATTCCACTTGGGTATCCAGACGACAAAAAATGTACAGTCCAGTTTTCATGAGAAGGTCTTACTAAAAGACGCCATCACATGTTTCTTTCTTTTTTCCCTTGCATAGTACGCATTTTACAACATCACAAATTGCTTTATCCTGGAGAAACAAAGCTGTCTTTTAGTTGGGAAGCTCGCTGCTCTCTCTCAGAGTCACAGGGAGAATGAAACAGAGGCTCTGTCTGGGCAGCCAAGTCTGCTGTCCTCCTATTTCCATTCCTCCTGAAGAATGCAGAGAGTCTGGAGGAGCTCAGAATGCACAAAAGGCCAAGAGGCACACACTGTTATCAGGGGGACTGACAGCTAAAAGTGGGCTCGTGGTTTTCCTCTGAATTCATTTGGAGCCCAAAGAGTACAGTAGTTCCAATAAACTGGGATAGCAGTGTAACAGATAAAAAAAGAGATAAGGGTTACACTGTATAATACTCACTTGTTCACGAGTGTGTTCTTAATAGGTTGCATTTCTACATTGTGCATTGCCTGTCCTCATCAAGGGAGACTAAGACTCCTTAATATCACATACTGTACAGTACTGTCTAAAGCTCATAAGAAGATACTGTGGCATGTGAGGTTTATTTTTTTGTACAGTATGTTACAGCCAATGTAACAGATGTCTAAAAATATTTTTAGGATAGCATGTATCATGAGTGTGCATGGCACATGTACCTTGGTACTGTAGAACAGCCTGTCAGCTGTAAAAACCAGCCAAGAGGTTCGATTCTCTTGTGGAAAACAGGGCCTAGTCATAAAGGGTAACCACAAATTACAGCAAAAGCTTTTTTTTTGCAGAAATGTGCTAGAAATGTGCTTACTTGCAGGTATATCATTCTTGCCATGTTAGTGTTTTTCTTTTTCAGTTTTCAAATCATTATGAAGAAGCATTCCCTTTCAACCCCCCTGCCTCCCCCTTCGTCTTCCCCAAACAAGCACTCTCTGGAGCCAGTGTCTGCTGTGCTGCACAGATGGCAGGCTCCAATAAGATTGCTGCTTTTTATTGATGGAATGTTTTATGTATTTTAAGACTTGGACATAATCGATGGAATGAAATGGATGTCAGGAATTTAACATTCCTTGCCAGAAATATCATTCCTGATTATGTCCCTGAGGAAACTTTGAATTGGCCTGGTTTCCCAAGGCTTTTATTGCTTTTTGTGGGCTTCTCTGTGTTTATTGTCAGCATCTTTTGTTTATATGTGTGTGCCAGGTTGCTCCAGGTTACCAACCAATTCTCATCCTTTCCAATGATTACCTATGGTTTATTATAGGTGCCCCGGCAATTTCCCTAACATGTAACAGTAAACAACAAATTTATTGCGTTTTAATGAACACAGAAGCTGTCTCTGAAAGTGGGGAATCAGATTAAAGGCATATGCAGTGACTAGCTCCTATTTGCATGTAATGGACCACTTGTTAAGATTCAGACAGGACAGAACCTGTTTTGAGAGGAATTGGGTTTTGGTTGCAGTGTGAAAAGTACATGAGGCAATGTGATTACTCATTACCAGTAGAAAGCCAATTTGCAGGGAACCTTTGTCTTAAATCCCACACTCGTGTCAGCTGCAAAGCGATTGGCAAGGGAGAGTACTTCACCATGAAATAGCCAAGCTGTGCATAAACAAATGAGTCAACAGTGAGGAGCTTTCACTCAGCAAAATCATATGCTTTTCCAAGAAAACAATGAAATGATAGGGGGTGAACTTCATGTTGTGAGAAAAGAGAATGTTGACTTTTCCCTTTGAACCGCTACAGCATAACCGTTAAGTAAAACTGATTAAGTAAAAAACAAATCAAGAAAAGAAGAGCAGAAAAGGACAAAATAGAAAGAACATTTTACTGGGTCTGCTAAATCAAAAGATAGCTACAGTAAATAATGCTCCTGAGTTTATATACATATATTGTATACACTGATATTCAAAATCCTGAAAACTATCATGTGTAGCAGTACACTATGTGAATACTAAAGTGATATCCCCCCTTGTAACTTTTGATGCTTTTCAGTGGCCTTTTTACTTTCTGGGATGAGTTCTATTAAATTTAAGGAGCTCAGTGAGTTGACATCCAAATGCATGTCTCACCTTTGAATTGCAAGACATGACGTGACAGTGTAAAACATTATACTGTATGTACTCCTGCAGTCTGAAAGGATTCTAGACCACAGGGGAGACATTTTCATTCAAATCAGCTTACATTAAATTGTACCCCTTTATAGTAACCTGACTGAAGTGACTTGTTTACGGGTGTCCCACATGATTTGGACCCACAACCTTCCAGCAACTCTCACCACTACTACTCCGCACTCTCGCCTGCAACCTGCACTCACTCACTCCTTGTCTTTTGGCATTATAGTAACACACTTTCCTTGATCACTACTGTTTAGGCATTGACCACTTCCTCCCTTCCTTGCAAGGTCATAATGTACATAAATGTGTAGCATCAGAACAAAGTAAAGGCTTTCCTACGCCTTTAATCATCAGCCCACATTCATTTTAAAGTAGCACATAGGACTGGGTCATTCATTATGTTCAGAGGTAAGATGTTATTGCCACGGATATAATACTGAAATGCAGTATATGGTTTATTTTAATGTGGACTCACAGAGAACAGAAATAAATTCCATGGGTTAATTGTTTTTCAAGTAGATTTGTTTGTGTTAATTAGATCTTTTTTTTAAATTAACTTTCTTGGGCTTTTCTGTTAAAAACACAGCTCACAGTTGGCACTGCTCCTGTTTTTTCTATTTGTCTGGTAAATAAACAGCAAATTAGCTATACACCTTTGGTTTTCTACTGTATTCTACAAGACAGAGAGAATTCCTCATGGAAACGTTCTGCAGTCTAATTAGATTAAAACTGAAGTGTGAATTTAGATGTATATACACTGTGTTCACTATTAAGTCATTTATTGCCAAATTGAAAAGACATCGCTAGATAAGTAACACACAATTTTCTTTCTTATAAGTTAATATCTATCTTAGTTTATGTGCAATTAAAAATCTTGATCTTTCTACAGTATATATGAAAACATTAATGTAAGTATTTTGTATTAAGCTATCAACATTTGTTTGTTCTTTTGTACATGAACTGTTTTGCATATGAAAGCCTCTAATTAGAAGCAGCATCTATTTCAGGTATTCATCAGATTCAAAGCCTATGATACTTTTTTCTACCCCACTGCTAAGCAACAGGTAATATTGATGAGCTGTGCATGCAAGCCGCACAGGCTTGGCACATTTCAAGACCTACACTATGATGATATAGATGGATATCACCCTGCTGTTGGGATTGTGGATTCTTAGATAAAACCGTAGGACAAAACACTTTTATTTTTGGTGCTTGCAATTCTGAAGTCAATTGGTTTGATCCACCGTAAAACTGTTAAGAAAGAAAAAAACACTTGTTTGCTATGTCAAGAAGGCATTCGCTCACCTCTGATGAGCCCAGTGGGCTGTGTTGTCAGCGGTGGTCTTGGAGGAATGGTACGTTAGGCAGAATCTTCTGCTGCTTCTGTCCCAGAACAAGGGGGAGCTCCCCTCCCTATCAGACCAAAAGGCAACTTCAATGTTTCAAGTCTCCCATTCTGGAGAACGATACGGGGGTGGTTCAAATGAAGCTGGAGACAGATGCTGCCTCTCAAAGGTCAGTTCGGGATCTCGGTACAGAAAATCCCAGCTTCTCTATTATAGAGGACATGGCACTGGAGGAGAAGAGGTCTGTTGGACGATCTGTGAGTTCAGTGTCTTCCTCCCAGCGGGCCAGGCAGAAGAAGAAGCTCACTCCCTTATCTTCCCTTCCCCTGCAAAACTGTTCTTCCAAGGGCGGCAAGACTAGCCTGTGCAGCGATGAAGAATCTGAGGTCTTATTCTCGAAAGGTGGGGGAAGTTTTCTCACACCTCCCGTGATCAACCTCATCCCACCAACCCCTTCAGATGTGATTGACGACGACCAGTTCTTTGACATCAACTCTGAAGAGGAGAGTGTTACCAACACTTCTGGCTGCGCGTGCATGGACAGTGCTGGACGCCATGTCACGGGGGACCAGCAGAGCTTAATGGGAGGAACCGATCAGACCCAGGCTTCCCAAGAAGTGGATCCAAAGAGCAAAGGCCCAACTGGGAGCTCCATGTTCATCTTCGAACAGCATGTGGACAGACCCACAGAAGGTCTGGAAATGAAGTTGACCTCTGAGCCTGAAACAGACAAGTCAAGCAAACTAAATCTCCTATGGAGCACCTATCAAGTGGCTCCTCTTCCTGAGTATCCAAGAAAAAGTATGTATAATATCTGTCCGTGTTAAAAGCATGCAGCTCAATGCCTGTGTTATACGGTACAGTAGCTAGAACCCATGGTAGGTTTAAAGCTAACTTTCTGTTTATATACAATTTGATCTTTATGACTATTGCATTTCTTTAATTTACTATCAACAAAAGCAGAAACAAATTCAAGCAACCTATGTTTTATTGTTTGCTTTTATCACCATTTATTCCAGGAAGCTTCAATGCCGGAATAAATTTGCTCCAGTTTACAGAACAGAATCTTGGTAAGTTGTTTTGTAATGTAGTAGGATTGTATAAAGGCATCTACTGTACTGCATTAAAACATTTCCTTCTAACCTTGCCATACATTATCACACATATCCTAAAGTACTTAAATATGTCTTTCAGTACATAGTATTGCAGTATTGCAGTATGAGTAGTGTTTTGCATTTCTTGTGCTTATCTTACAACTAAATATATGCCTTTAATATGTCAATTAGCAAATGTTGCATCTTCACCAGATGCCAGTTTAGCAAAACGTACTGATTACCCTTGATTATAGTATAATTCTTTGTATTATTAACCATTATTATTAAAAATGACATACTGTAGATACAATTTCTGTACTCTACAGCGCTAAGGAAAATTCAGTGAACCTCTAAGTTTGTTCATATTCTTTTTTATTCTTTATTATTTTTTAGACCTTTAATGTGATGAGACAAAAGATTAACTGAAGTAACACACAAAGACATCAGATGTATTTAGATTATTTAATTAACAAAATGATTTTACTGTAACTGTCCTGTTTCTAGCATCTGGTTAAAGGAATTTTGGCCCATTTTTTCTAGAACTGTTTCAAGTCATGACAGCATAAGAACATTTATAACCGTTCAAGGCCGTTCAGTCTGTCTAGCCTGTTTGGTAGTTGTTCTAAGGATCTCATCCAGATGTTACTTGAAAGATATAAAGATATTGTCTTCAACAATATGGCTTCATAGCTTGTTACACACTTCCTCTGGTTATTCAGTGTCGTTTGAGGGTTTACTTGCATGAAAACTTGGCTTTAGGTCCTGCCATAATATTTCAGTGGGGTTTGGTTCTGCACTTCGACTTGGTCAGCCCAAAATGCCTTCCAACAAAAGATATAATCCTAACCACCAAGTGGGGTGGTGGGGGTATTGTGGTTTTGGGCTACTTTGATGCCTCACAACCCGGACAACTTGTCACTGATGGAACTATGACTTTGGTGTTATATCAGCATATTCTGGGGGAGCACGTCAGGCCATCCATTCATCAGCTGAATCTGAGCCGAAAGTGGGTCATGCAGCAAGACAGTGATCCTAAACACACAAGCAGATCTGCAGCAAAGTGGCTGAAGAATTCTGGCATTTTGGTTTGGCAGATACTCAAATACTCAGCTCTGACACCAGTTTATGTAGAAGCAAATTATCGATATTTTAAAAACTAAAACACTTCCAATTTTCAGGAATTCTGAGTGATGCCAAGCGGTTTCTTTTCTTTTTTTGTGAACTATTTGGCAAAGAAAACCGTCTGTAGTTAAAAAACTATTTATTAACCAAAATGAAACAAACATCACAGAAAAAACTACTATTTAGTAACTGCTATGTTCAGTTGGATCAGGTTTCAGGCCTCAGTCAATACACAGTCAAATATCTGCACTCCTAATTATAAATATTTGGTTAAAACCATACAGTAAATATACTGGAAAGGAGACAAATCTTTTTATCTGTGAAAAGTGACAGATTTCTCAAAAAATAAATAATCCTCTGCAGGCAAACTGAAACCAGACTGATGATTAAAAAGGCAACAATTGATTGTATAGAAGAATGCATACAAAACATATTATGTTTGCAAGAAAAATGAAATATTTACACAAATGTGAAAAATTCAGATCCTTTTCTTAACTTTCAAGTAAGTTATTTGAGCACCAGTAGTCAGAGACTTATTGGCCTATGTCTGTTAATGGACAATTGAAGTGGTGAAGATACAGTACATTACGTGTAATGCAGCGTCCAGCTTCTTAAAGGGGAACTGCAACCCTATTTTCATATTTTGGAGTTAGAAAGAATCAGCATTGATGAGTGCATTTCAAACCACAATACAAGTCAAATGTACACAGTAACTTGTGAAATCTCTGATTTACATCACAACATAGATTAAATTTCAAGTGGTGCACAGCACCACATCTTGAAATTGAATTTGATAAACTGACTTCTTTGAATAAATAGCAGAATTATATAATCAGATTTATTGGTAGCTAGCAACCAAATGAGCTGGATGATTTAAATGGCTCCCTCTCATTTGCAACATTTCTTCTTATGTTCTTATGAAATAGTGAAATGTTCGTACTACTCCCGTCCTCTTCTCTTCTTCTTGGATGTGTATCTGTTTAAATACTCTTTCTCACTTCTGATTCGCTAGAATGCCTTGTGATCATTGTTGTAATTGGCCAGATCGACACACTATCTATATTCTGATTGGTTAGATTGAAATTAAAAATAATTTTATTTAGCTTAATTTTTTTATAGGGAATAAAATAAAAGCAGCAGGTGGCTTTCATGGAGTATGCTTTTTTACAGCTTGGTTCTCATCTTTCAGACATAGTGATACCAGCATTGTGATGATAAAGATGAGCTGGTTTAAGAATCGTGTATTCCAAAATTATAAGAGGACAAAAGTTAATAGTAATTTATGATTCAAACAACTTCTGTGGTTTTTCAGAAGGCTTTAATCTCTCCATTGACTAAGTCTGGGCACAGTCTCCCCAAAGTTATGGTCAATGCTGAGACAAGATTTCGTCGTACAGTATTTTTCATTTATGGAAGAAGAGACCCTAGCACTAAGATGCTTTATTTTTTCCAATATGGACAGCAACTTAATTTGTTGTCATTATATTTATTTCAGACTCATTTTCCTGGCTATCAAATTGCTAGTGTAACCTAACAAGACATGAAAGTTGAAGCCGACAAATACCCATGGTTTTCACTGACCAAAAAAAAAGAGGTGTATCACTGCTCTCTCACCTGCAGAACTTCAAGTCTGGTATCAACCACTATTAGCATTTTAATTATAAATACTTGGCAAATTTCAAAGCCCTTTGATCTCACTAGAGCTGTCAGTCAGGACTTTTTCAAAAGCGCAGACTCTGCTTCTATCTCTTGATGTTCACTATTGTTTGGCGAGTGAATTTATGCCCTGCTGTTCACAGAGATAGGCTGGGAGGCTGAGACGCAAAACTGCAGTATCAGGTACCATAGCTTTAGGCTCAAAGGCAGCCAGCCAGTTCTTAAAAGCCCCTTTATTCACCCAAAAACCAAACATATTTAAGAAAAATGAAGCGAAGAAAAAAAACAACTTTTTGGTTTGTTTTTAGTTAGCAGACAGGCACTGCTATTTAAATTAAACTATGAAAACAGGACAGAAATTAAAGTCACCTCCTTGACATGTGGGACATAGAGCTCAGATGTATGTCATGTAATAGCTGGTCTTTATAATCAACCTGTGTGATGGCATTTGACTCCCTTTCTGGTCATTGTGCCTCAAATCCCCCAGTGCCACTGAATGCACCATTCCCAGGAATCAAATTCAGGTCCCAAATGCACTAGCTATGCAGTCTCTATTCATCCTCCACATGAAAAGCTAGCTTTAAAAAGGAGATAGAATCGCACAGTTGGGCTCACTTTTTGTCTTTCATGAGAAGGGGGTATAAAGAAATGGGGCTATTAATAGGAAAATGAAATAACAGCCAAATAAATTATTTCGCAGAATGAAGTCAGCTTTCTTTTTCTTCCTTCCCTTCTCAGCCTTTCTCTGTCTGTTCCCTCGAACTAATTTCTAGCTCTTTTGAATTTGTATGTGCACGTTTGACATTGCAATTGTCACATTAAATGAACAGGTTTCTCTTTTCGTTATATGTGAGTCTTCTGATAGGGCATTACAGTATATGAATCATAGCACCCACTGTGAAAATGACATTTTCATTATATAATTAAGGTACCGTTGAGATAATTTGAAATGAGGGCATTAAACATGCTTTTTGTTGTACAGACTGCCATTTAACTTTTCCTTTTCATATGCTGCCATAGAAACAGAATAAATTGTATTGTTCTGTAGACTTGTCTTAGGCATTTCACATTTTGCTGAAGTTTGATTACCATCTTGGGAATATTATCCATGAAAATCAATCTCACAAAACTGCCTTAAAATGCGGCTACATTCCAAATAATGCACAAAGGTTAATGAATAATATGCTCACTGAGTCTTGGTCCAAAAAAAACGATTGTTGTTTCCACTTATAGTCTAAGAAGTCTCTATATCATCTCTAATCATAATAAGAATAAATACTGTACAGAACACCGATGACTTTAAGTTCATTTAATAATGAAAACAAACACTGGCACAAATATAATTGAGATCTGTCACTGTCTGGCATCCCTGCCAAAAGGAAAACTCAGTCCCCCCATTTTTGGTGGAATTGTAAATAGGTCTTAGCTAGCTTTTCTCTCCATTACAGTAGTTTTCCTCACTAATGGAAAATAAAGCTTGCATAGACTACACGGAAACTACCATCATACTCTGTCTCCTCATGTTTGCTATAAACCTCTTAATGCAAAGCAACATTACTGATCGCCAACTCTAGGATTCCTGTGGCCCATGTTTAAGTGCCAAACCCCCGGATCTGTTTGGGAAAATTCCTGACCAAGAGTCTTGCTGTAAAAAATAAACAGAAAAGTTTCGATGACTACCAAAAACGCTTTTGTGATAAACTTATTTTTTTAAAGTTGGTCCAGTATCAGTAAATACTGTGTTTACCCTTGTTACAGAAATAGTAAGTGTATTAAGGAATAGAAAATAACACAATCCAGTACTAGAACACTAGTTTATTTTTTTCCTAATTGCAGAAATATATGTAAACGAACATACTTCTAGAAAGGGGTTCTTACATTTCGCAGACCTTTAAGATGTGATATTTTAACATGAAAACTAATAAAATAGTGCTTGTGATAACAGATTATGTTGTTAAAGATCAAGATGAATTTTTGCTACTGTTAAAGATTAGGCTTCATGTTAAAGGACTTTTTGAAAGTTTAAATAAATAAAAGTATTTAAAAAAAAGCAAGATATCCAGATAAAATATCCAGACAAGACAATCAACAGATATATTTTTAGTTTTGTGTTTTTAATTTGTTAAAAGGATTATTAGTTAGTTTATTATTAATTTCAACTTATACTTTAGGTTCAGTTCATCAACATTTTTGAAGAAGTTTGAGCACAGTTTGCAAATGTGAGATGTCCCCACAAACACAATCAAACAACAGTAACAAAACATCACGTTACAATTTTAACATTTTTACAGTGTTTACATTTTAACAACGCCAGTGTTGTGTGCTGAACAGTCTCACTATGCACGTACATTAACAGTCCAATGACATTACTCCATGTCATTTCGGGGTCTCAAGTTATTGGGAGAAGCCTACAGAAGTCAGAACACTGTGGCCCAGTTTTTAAAGGACCATAGCTTCAAGACTCCACACCATGTCCTCCTTTCTTTTGTGTCATATGTCACGACTTAGCTTTAAGCTTGAGGTGCTCCCTTGCACATTGTTTAGAAACATGCATGGAGAGCAAATCCAGGTATGGAACACACACAGGTGTTTCACTTACTGTACATCAATAATACTCTGTATAAACATCTGAAAAGGCCTCTGCAGTTGAAGCATTGTGTTTCTTCTCTGTACTTTTTCTTTTTACTTTTCAGTGTAGAATTAACCTTTACTTGCTCCTACATACATAAATGATGAACTTTACGCTCTTATCATTACAAAACCTGTTATAAAATAACCTAATGAAAACAGCCTTTTGAGAGCAAAGGGGCTTGATGCCAGTTCAGTTTCGGTGGAACGACTATCGTCTGCAGCACCACAGCCTTGGGAGAGGAAAGAAAACCTGACCCTGTCGCCTAAGTAGATGCACTGGACTGTTCAGGAAATTCACTGGCACATCACAATTACTGTTCTGTATTACAGCCTTCAGCCCGTGATGTAGACATTTCTAAAAACTAGGAGTGGGGGAATGAAATAGAGGAATTTGCATTAGAATTAGGAGAAAGGGTTGCAGGCTCAGGTGATCCTTAGTAAGTTCCCAAATGCAATGAGTGTAAAACAAGACCATTGTAAAACTCAAATACTGTTATGAATCAAACTCAAATGCTAGATGTAATGAAGCAACCAGGCATTAGCCAGAAACAACAATGCCCGTGTTGTGTGCTGAACAGCCTCACTATGCTGAAAAGTGTCTACGGTACCTCCTAATTAAAGGCTGTCTTCTCTTAACAACCATGGTTCCCTGAATAGGAATGCAGTCACCACCAATAGGGAAGTTCTGCGTGACCTTTGCTGACTGACCTATGCTGAGCTAGTATGCCAAATCCGTCCATATGGATCCTACCATGTCACCCTGGTCTGTTCTTCTTTGTCTGAAAAGAACGGGGCTGAAGTGACTTAATCCACGCCAGTTTTTGGCTGTAACCAGAGAATAGCTGAGAGCAACCCAGAACCTCCAGAGTGATCACATTTCTTTTCATGGAGGGTTGTGAAGACAACCTAGTGTTTCCTTCCAGAGATAGACCTGTCCATCACACCAATCTCTCCAGTGGGGATCGGTGTGCCCGAACCCTTGCATATAGTGGCTGGCAGCAAAGTCAACAGAGGTCCTGCAGCTGGAGGGGTCTAAAGAACCTTATAACACCTGAGTGATGGGCTAGGAGATTCCACTATCCATTATAGAGGATAGGCGAATATGGAGGTGAAGTTCACCATCATCCAGGGAGCTCTATTACAGAGTGCCCAAAAAGCAGGCCTGTAAGAATGCTCATTATATCACTTCCTTTTTCTAAAAATATACTGTACGTGCATTGACAGAGTGATGTATTTTTTCCATTACTCACATCCTCACATTGAGCTCTGCTTTAAAGCTGTTAAAGAGATAAAAGATGACAAATTAAAATGGATGAATAAATGCTGCCTCAACACTTCCAATGAAATAATTCTTTGTCAGATTGTACAGTAAGTGACCAAAATAATGAATGATGAAAAAAATGCTACAATTTCATTGTTAAAATTTCATTGTGATTAATATGTTGATTACATGAATAATGTGAATTTGGAAGTCCATTTAGATGCGCTGGATAACTCAGGTGAAGTTTGAACATCCTCAAAGAATTAGTCCTAATCAAATCAAGTTTAAAAATGGTAAAAGCAGGACACAAAATATATGTGAATTGTTTTTTTATGTGAATGAAATACTGAGTGTCATGAAAAGGAGTTTTAGTACTGATCAGCTAAAGCTTTGGCTTTATTTTTGCTATTTAGAATAGCACTTAACAAACCCCCACAGTTTCATTGGAGGACATCACATGCACATGTAGTGAAAGAGTCTGCTTTCTCTAAAGAGTATACAAAATTCCACAGCTGACAAGTTAAACCAATTATACTTCTTATCTGTGTAATGTAAATTACTCATGATGTCAAACAGTGCTTTTTAAAAATCAGCTTCAAAATGCAAACCATGTGTTTGGTATATGATACCCAATACAGTTTTACAAACAAGTCAAAAGGTCTTTTATTTTTTATGCTTGTTTCACAGAAAACTGTTGAAAAAATAGCTGGCTTGGAGGAAAGCTTAAAAAGACTTATTTAAGTATCTTGTCTCAAATTTGTATTTAATTGAAGGTGTATTTAATTTTAAAACTCGTTTTTCTAGCAAGTTCTAGAAATAAAGATGCAGTAAATTTGTTCATCCTGTTCGTCTTGTTCATCCCTGACACGTTATACACCAAAAATCAGAATGGTAACAATTTTGTGTTATAAAAGTAATATAAAACACAATTAGTCCTGTGTTTCGTCTTTCATTCTAGAGTAATTCTCCAACTTAAAGGCTTAAATTGTACATTACTTAATGATTAAAAAGGTTTTTGTACAATGTTTTTATTTGTAAAAATGAGAATTCTAAGATAAACTAATATTTATCTAAGTATATCTTATATATACTGATATGCTAGCTATTGGAGTAATTCAAATTGCTAAATATAAAAAAGTTCAATGAGAGATGCCCAGCCTATGACAGTATTATTTGTGTTTGTTTTTGGCTTTAAAAATTATATTCCTTTTAACATGTGAATCCCCTTTGTTTTGTTTGCTGTATGAATATTTGATTCCGTTCTCCATGGGAAAAATGCTTTGTCAAATGTTGTGCCACTACCAAAAGGCTAATGTGCAAGTCAGTGATCCTCATGTGTCACCTACAATATCTGCAGTGTAAGGGTAGTCATGGCTTAGTGACCGAGCGACAGAATATGAGAAAAGGCAGTGTAATTGATGGCTTTGGTCCCAAGAGAGAACAGTGCGTTATGTGGGTTATGGTGTAGGCCGCAAAAAGGTATTGACATAAATATAATGCGATTGTGTGAATATTTTGCCTGGCTAAGCTTGCTTTCTTCCTTGTGGTCTTTTTCTCTGAATAAACTGAGCCAAATAAGTTGTTTTTTAAATGATGTTTTTTGTTTGCTTTTTCAATCATTTCAATTACTTTACCTTTTGTGTTACATTTGAAATCTGAAAACCCAAGCTTCCCGATTCTGACATTCAGCTCCTGCTCCATTTAATTGTTCCTATAAGAATAAAAATATACAAGCCTGAAGTTTATCTCAGAAGGGTCTGAGGGATTTAAGCAGACAGTATCATAATTCAGTAGGAGTCTGCAGGGCACCCAGCCTGCAGCACTAAATACTCCAGAGCAAAGGGAAAACATTTCCCATTAGTGTCCCTTTGGTACATGTATAGGAAATGATCTGTTCATATTATTATGCATTTTTCCTACAGATGACTTGAACAGCAAAGACCCAAAGACCCACGAGTTACTGAAGGCCGAGCTGAGACTGCTTCCCCTCAGCACTAAGATGGACCCTTTGCTTTGCCTACGAGTAAGACAAGCATTTTCCTTGGTTGAGTAAGGGCTCCAGCCACACAACTGTGTGCTTTACTGTCTGTCTGTGCTCAACTTTTTTTCCAATTTGAAATTTTTTAAATAGAAACCTCTGTTTACCAAAAACTTTATTTTTACATTTTCTAATCAAAATTTGGCCTAGTGATATGTTAGAAATCATTCTAAGAGACAGCAATAAAGATCAGCATAAATATTTGGAAAGAGTCTGGTTTGGATTAAAGTAAGTGTTAAAAAAAGCAAGAAGGGTATAAGGACATGTATTACTTTTTCCTAATGCATATATACAGTACATACTGTATAAAATATCAGTTTATAAAGCCATTACTGATGCTATAATACTGTAGTGCTGTTGAAAACTGTTCAAAACCCTAACCCATCTTTGCATACTATGGTTTTCTTTAGAAACCAGCAGCTAGAACGTGCAGTTTGGGAGATGTTGTGTCAAGAAGTCAGACTTTTGAGATGCTTAGAAAAGGTAGAGAGTCCAGGCCAGAAGAGGAAGGATCGCCACGACAACGACGGGTAACTGTGGGTAAGAACTATGAAAAGTAACTTCGGTATCTTGCCTCTTGGTGTTCTCATTTAAGCAGCAGATATGTATCAGAACAAATATCATTGGCATTCTGAATTATCAGGAGCCTTTCCTTGCTTCTTGGAGAGATACTGCAATAATATGGCACTGTCTCCTCCTGGAATCTTGTGGGGATACAGAGCAGTTGGTAGGATTGTAGGCTAGTGCTTATAAACGACATGAGCTCAGATCTGACTTGTGTCCAGATCATTTAAAGGCTTTCTTAGAGAAAATCAACAATCCCATTTTTGGTGAACAGTCTTGGGACGCTGTTACTGGCTGGCTCATTTCAGGAAGGGAGCCCCTGGGCAGAGGGGTGGAGTGAAGGCATTTTATTGTTGTTAAAAGGTGATGGGTCAAGGCTAGGGGCTTGTTAGGAAGGTGCTGTGGGAAATTTACCTTATTTCCCATTTCTGTGTATTCTGTTACAGAACAAAAAACTCTGCAGCTGTAATTGTTGTGTTATTGTCCAGTAACTGTTATCCTAGCTGTCCTAATTGCATCTGAGTGGCACTAGTTCACAGAAGAACAAGCTGGGCTGTTCTTTGGGTGTAGCACATATTACTTCCCTTATTGTAATGCTTGGCTCCTTCAAGCTGAGTTGTAGCCAGATGCTCCTGTGCTAGCAATGCTGTTGCCAGGATCTCCCATATAGGCCAAATCTGTTTTTAATTTCCGACACCCCATTTATTAATGACCTTTGTGTCTGCCCCTGCCTCTCCTGCGCTCCAGCAGTTAACAAGGCTCCGTAAGAGACTTGGTGGGTCCTCACAGCTGCATCCTGCCTGGCTGTGCCTGGCACAGGGATCCGGAGTCCAGACAAAAGTGTCATGTTCCCTTTCTCCTGTTACCCCTCCCCAGCATCACCTAGAGGAGATCTGACAGTGAGCCAATTCTGATCACAGTGAGCGTTAGTATTGTTTCATGTCTTGCCTTTTCAACCTGCACTTTTAAGCAGGCACGACAGACTAAGCAGTTTTCCTTTATTTGTGTGTTTATCTTGTATGTTTTTTTTTTCCTAGGATACAGTTTTTACAGGTGCTAGCAACTGTTATTTGTGTATACACTAGGGTGGTGTGGAGTCTGGTATAAATCATGCTGCCTTCCAGCTTCAGAGTGCCGGGTTTGATTCCTCCCTTTGACATTTATCTGTGTGTATTGCCTGGTGTCCTGGCTTCATCCCACCTCCAAAACACATGCTGGTGAAGTTTTATTGGCTGTTCTCAGCCAGGCTGTGCCTGTAAGGCCCAGTGCAGTTGTAACATGTATTTGCAATTCCACATACTGTATCTGTGACTTTGTATTTCTTTTACTGTTATTGATCTATCCAGATCAGATGGGCTCTTAACCTTCTCCCTAGTGCACTGGAACACTATGGAGCAATAACATATAATTTCAACACTGAGTTTCAAGATCAGTCTTTTCGGTATGGTAAAATGACAAATAAACAAAACAAAACACAGTTAAACTTTCATTTCAAATAATGCAAGAAATTTCACAAATCCAGAACACTGTTTTGTTTTTTATAGCATCGTACATTCCTCAGGCAAAAGATCAGGATGGGATTTATTCTGGACAGGTAAGATCAACTAGTAAAACCACTCAAAAAGATTCCCTTTTAAGTACATTTGAACTTCAGAGACCATTGACACATCATAAACATTCAGACCAATTTGAATAGACTTGACATAATATTTTCTAGCATATGTAATAAACCATTAATGACTCAGTAACATCTGCAAAAATGTTAACAAGAGAAAATAATTTGTTTTTTTTCTCCAAACTGGATATAAAATATAAGTTGCTGTGTACATAATAATGTAGTTATTCGATAGCTAAGTGTAAATAAGTAATTGTAATATGTTACTAAGGCAGTATATTGTCCAAATAAATACTACTTTGTACTGGAGAGTGAGTTAATGTAAGTTTATAAAAATACTTCTTTTACATACATATCATGATATATCATGATTTACTAGAGGTTATTGATAAATTCTCTTTATAAACAAATCAATTATTTATAAAGGTATAATAATCATGCAGCTTAGATTTCCATGTGGGAAATTAAGGAGCTTAAAGTCAGGTATAATATGGAGTGTGTTTTTTTATCTTTTAACCTTTTTATTTTTCCGGTTACATAGTGGTATTCTGACAACCTTTATAATCTGACAAGTATGAATAATAGTAATAATAACCCACCTCACCATGACCTTCATATAATTCTCTTGTAAGAGGAAGCTGTCAATAGGCTGTTTTGTTTTCAGTACCTACAGTATGTATTTATCTCACTCTGTGTGCTTGTGAAGCTTTGTTCTCCTGGGAAGAAAGCCAAGGCACTGGGGGAACTCAACACAGAGGAGACCTGCTGGTGGTTTACCAAGCTTGGGCTGCAGAAATACATTCCCTTTATCAGAGGTAATGTACCAAATGACGTCTCGAAACTCTCACCAACCCCCTTTTTTAACACACTGTGTCAAAACTACACGTGACTTCAGACCCATTTTTTTTTTTGTTGACTTAATTTACAATACCAGAACAAACCATTGAAGTCTGCATAAACTGTCTTCTTTTATTCATTAGTTTTAACCAGTTACAGCTTGCTCATTTTTTGACTAGAGGCTAGTACACATCAGAACATCAGCTTTCCTCAAAACAAATTTTATGTATGCAAAAATGACTTATGCTCTTAAGGGTTTTTATTCACTCTTCTTTCAACATGCAAGCTCTGTGTTGTTACAAGACCAATCTCTTTTTGTATTTATATAAAATACTTGGCACCACAGTTAGACTGCCATTAATAACCAAATTTCAAACAACAACCATGGGAAATTCTTAGATTTTTCACAACCATGTAGAATTTGTTTGCATAGTGATGTCTTTATAATACTGTACATGTTAAAGTAGTATACAGTTATTCAGCAACATGGGAACCTTTGAGAGTGCATCTGTCATGAAGAAGGAACTCATTCATTGCTTATTTTGGTGTACTGTATATTTGTCTACAAAAAACTTGCCACTTTTTGTCAGTTTTCCTGAAAGTTTTCCTGGTCAGTTTTCCAGTTTTTCAGTTTTCCAGATTCTGATGCAAAACAGTGTGCTTGAAGACACATTGAACACAAATCTGATGTTTCGTACTGTATGGTGATACTTACTTTAAAAGTATTAGTATTACAATCATTGTGTTGTCGAACTGTAAATGAACAGAAAAGCCCGGAAAGGAAACTGCCTCTTCATCTAGTCACACTGGCCTCTCATCTCTAAGTACAAAATTGGCAACTGCACTTATTGCCTTCATATTTTCCAGCTGTTGTTACTTAAAAAGACTGAGTAGATTTCTCCCATAACTGACTTTGTGGGAATGAAGTTAAAATGTCAAGTCATCCTTATGATTTTTTTTATATTTTTTGACAGCCTAGAAGTGCTCTTTGCAGATGGTGAAGAAAGCTTTGCGTGACCAAAATTTTGATTATTTGTTCCTTGCTATTCTTAGTATTGTAAGCTGTAGGTAATCCATAAGTTATTCAAATGGCATCAGATCATCCCCTTGGAGTAAAACAAATATTATTGGTATGAGGAGAAAAGGGGCCTTTTTATAAAAAGCCTTCAACATGTCTTATTGAAAAAAGAGAAATCAGTCTGCATATTTTATGTATGTTTATGAAGAAATAAAAAATCTCTGAGTTGCAGAAGTAAATGTATAGCACAAGACCATCATTCACCCTTACGTATTGTGTGTAGTATTTCATTTAGTGTTTAAATGTTGCTGTTGCTGTTGCTGTTGCTGTTGCTGTGCTTTCACATTTGTACAGGAGCCAATCTACGAGGGTCCCACATCGCTTCTATTGATTTGGAGATTCTTGATCTTCTACATGTGTCCACCCCAGAGGAGAGAGAGTGTTTGCTCTCAGCTGTGTACCGTGAGCTTCATCCTCCGGATACAACCACCCAGGAACTGGATACACTACTGGGTAGAAAGGAAATGATGTTGTTGATTTCTGTCTCAGCTCTAGGGCAATCAAAAGTTTCATTTGCCATAAAGAATTCAGATAGTACCAGATTTATAAACAGTAACAGGATTTTCTAAAAACAATTCCACACTGTATGCCAAGAATTCCATGTATTTAATTCTGCATACTTATACCTAAAAGCAAACTGCTTAATGCCATCCTGCACTTCAATTGCATTGTGTTGTTGTTTTTTGTCACAGGAAGAAAGCTGATGACTACATATGCATATTATGCTGCATGAGTTGCCACACAGATGATGGCAGATTTCTTTTTTACTGCATGAAAGACAAGACTAGGATTACTGTTTCTGTGTTAACTTCCTTAATGTACTCTCCCTAAAACACAATTGAGCTATGCATTGATGATCCATGTAATTTTTCAACCTGTTCTTTTCAGTAACCCTTTGCCTATGTATTGCCTGTTTTGTAGAGACTATAGGCTCATACAATGTTGAAAAATTCACAGCCGCATTAGTTAATCTAAGCAAGGCAAAGTCTCTGCAGTTTTCGGACAACGCGAAAGCCATCCCTTGCCAGTTTCAGTTCAGGTGAGTTAGAACATTAAACAAATAATTTGGATTCACAAGTAAACAAGAGCTCAGCCCAGCCGAGGGCATTATTTATGTTGATCTCACCCTTTTGTTCAAGAAGCATGAGATTGAGGTGAGGCACGATTCAAGTGTAAACATGTACAGTGAAAGTATTAATATGATTTTAACCATAACTGATGTGAATCTCCCACAAGTGGATATTGATTACTGATGACTTTCAGTGGATTTCATGGAAAAAAAAATATGTCTGAACTGAAGCACTGCTAAGTCAGTATGACAACAAGCTGCTGAGAAAATAATTGGCCAAATGGTCATTAAAAAACTATGGAGTTACAATTGTTTCTGGGCTATTTCCCGTCTGTACCTTTAAGTCAATACAATGCAATCTACTGAAGAACCAATTATTACACACTAGTTTAGCACATTTGACATTATTTATTGAAATATATTTAAATATATAATTATTTTTGAATCTATGTGTTTTTAATATTCTTTAGTCAAAGAGGAGAAAAGGGACTAAATAGCAATATACAGAAGGATTCTCATCTGTTGGAATTCACTATAAAAGGTAAAAACGTCTTATTATTGAATGATGCCCATTGAAACACCTGTAGCCTACTAGATTACAGTAGATTGACCAGAGGTTAAAGGTGGATTTACTTAGAATACAATATTGGCAACATGCTAAACATTTTCATATTTGCTTTCATGTTGTGTATAGGTTTTTTTTAAAAAGCCGGAATAGTTATAAAATTAAATACTCCTATTTTACTATTAGTAAGGATTTTTTAAGTAACCTTTGAAATAAATTTAGTGGGGGAAAAAAGCAAAAAGTGAGACTATTCTCTTGGCAAAAAGGCTGATGAAATCATATTTGTGATGGGCATTGTGCAGTACTTTAGTAATCTACTTAGCAAGGCAAAACTATCTATTTCAGCACTTGAGCAGAAAGTTCATCTCAGATTCCCTAAGGAAACAAAGGTTGGAAAAGTAATTGGGACTTGTCTGAAGATGCTGGGGGTGGCTGAAAATAAAGATCTTTTCAGCCTAAATACTTTGACAGGAAAAAGCAAGGAAGGTAAATATTTACAGAACTGAATCTGTACATAAATGTAATATATACTGTAGCTGAGTTAATCACACTGTGTATTCCTGACAGGTTTATCCAGAAATTGTGTATATCAAAAAAAGCGATAGGGTCCTTTTCTTTTTGGATGATTTGTTCTCGAAGCTTTCTATGGCCTGACCAGAGACTGGAAACCACACTTTTTGTCCAGACTGGGAAATTGTACTAAAACTTGCAAAATGTCTGCTGTGATTTTGTTGTTTTCTTTTTTTTCTAAGTCTCCTTTCTCCCTTCTTATCTGTTTTCTTTTATACTGGTTTTTATTTTCGGCTGACTTTTAATGATCCACATACATGGAGTATGGGGTGAGATTGCTGTGCTTAGTGAGGGTGGAAGAGATTTGGAGTTTTTCTATCTGTTGTAGATGTTCTTTATTGTACAGTAGTTAGTTTTTGTCAGCTTGTTATCAAACAATATGAAAACAATAACCTTAAAATGTTTAATCACTCCGCTTACGGTATGTATTTAAGTACCTAATGATTATATTGATATTTTGTCCTTACTTATTTGTTTTTATAGCTGTTCTTTACTTTTAATGATTAATTGAAACAGTTTATTGGAGTAAAAAGCACCTTTATTTTTTTATATAGGCGTCCTAAATGAGTTTCCACCTGACAGGCAGGTTGGTGACTTGATAGATCCAGAAACGACGCATTTGGAGCTGCTCTTGTGTAAAAAGGTACCATTAAAACGAATAAACTTAATATTAATTTCTATAATTTATAATTACTGCATGCCCTTAACTGACACCATAAACCTAAAAGATGTTTCTTGTAAGATATTACATCTGTTTCACTACTTAGATACTTAGCTGATAAAGTGGAATTAGAAGTCTGTTTAATGTCTGTTGTGAAGAACAGTAGAAGCATGTGGGATGGAGACACAGTGCTTAACATTGCTTCTTGCCCTGGGGCTCTGTGGCCTGCAGCCTCTGGGTTTATTCCAGACCTAGGGTGCTTTCTACTTGGAGTTTGTGCAGTATGTGTTTGCCGGCGTTTCCTCCCACAATCTAAAGACATTCATAGATTAATTGGCTTCTAGGAAAACTGGCCCTGGTGTGAGTGTGTGTCTGTGTTTGTGTCTGTCTGCCTTGCGATGGACTAGCGTTCTATCCAGGGAGCACCCTGCCTTGCGCCTGTTGCTTGCCAAGATAGTCTCAAGCTCCCCGGAGACCCTGAATTGAATGAAGTAATTAGAAAAAAGATTAATGGATAGTGGCAACTCAAAAAGTGAGACACACTATTCTATGGGGATTTCCAATTATTGTGCTCTGTAAGGATATTTTAGCACTGCAGATAGACACTGTAGGTTATGTTAATAGACATTTTATATTCCCTGCTTTTTGTTTTGTTTTCAATTCCAGGAACAATGATGGATGCTACTTGTTTATGTGTTTTATTATTATACATTTTTTATTCAACATACAGTACAGTTTGGTACTGTGGAGTCAAAAAAAATCCCTGTATCTAAACAGAGATTCACTACCTGTATAGTTACTGCAGCATTTATGCTTCAATCATGGTTAGTGGAAAAATGTGGTAACTGATTTCCTCAAAAGGCGCTCATCTTTCCTAATGGGCAAAAGACATTTTTCTCCATTCATCATTGCTACTGGCAATGATGCCTAGAATACAAATAAACAGGATTGCAGGGAACTTTGCTTCGTAATTAACAAGTGCTCAGCAAGCTTCTCTTCGTTTTAATTATCCTTACAGCAGGGATTCTCAGTTCTGGTCCTGGGGAAGTCCTTTGTTATCAGGTTTTTGCTCCAGGCAACTTATTAATCACAGGTTAATTGATTTCATTTTCTGAGGCCTAATTTAAATTTGCTTTCAGCTCTCAAAAACCTAGGAGTGATTCATAACTGGTATCAACCCTGCACTAATTAGTGAATTTCATTCAAGAGTCTATGCTGAAATGTGACCAGTTGGACAAACAGAAGAAAAAACACTGTAGGATTGTCTGATACATTTTCATATCAACCTCTGTCTGGTCACCATAAATTGGTCACCTATTAATGAGAGATGATTGATGAGAGTTGATGAGAGACTGCATAAAGTTATAGTTAGTACAGGTGATTAATGGCTTTGTTGGAACTAAAACTAGCAGAAACAGAGGTCCCTCAGGACCAAGATTGAGAACAATTTTTAACATTCTAAATGGTGTTTGAAGGAAGGGATATTAAAAACTGATTATAATACTACAAAGACCTTATTGATTTTGTAATATAGAGCAAGGAAGGTCCCCTTTTTGAACTTTTCACATTGTAGTGGATGGGAAGCATGATTACAGTGACCTCTATAAGTACAGAGTGTTAGTGCATTTACTGTATATGTGGTGGTACATGAGGAGAAAAGTACACAATTCTCAACTTGCACTTGGGTCTGACCCTTTTGTTTATAAGGACAGCTTGTTTTCCTGTAGTGTGGTGGATTGTAATGTAACTCCCAGTACCTCTCACCCTGTGCGCAGTGGAACATGCAAAGAATACATAAATCACAAATACATGAAAAATATCCTGGTGAATGCCCAGATTTGAACCACAGCCCTAACGAAGAAGTGACAAAACCTTGAGTAGTTGGAACCATCAAGCATGCAACATGCTGACAAAAATACTGTGGATAAACAAAAACAAAGAATGACAGATTCCAAGGTTTGAGATTGGTTTACAGTTTATGTAACTTTAGGATTCATTTTCAGCCTTGCTGACTGAAGTACTATGTAATGATGTACTGTAGCTTGACCATCACAGACCACCAACAATGAAACAAATAGGAGTTGCATCCAAACTAAACATGGATTCCTTTCAGTACCTCCAATTATCCCTGTTTGATTTTCTGGAACTGGATCTTCACATGCAATGTCTTCACTTTCCATTTTTCCTATAATATTTAAGAGGGCATGTTTATACTGTGTTATTCCACAGTCCACATTAGCTTTTGAATGAATTTGTTCGTCATACATGATTGTGTTATTTTGGTACCTGGACTGAGCTGCTAGTGTGAATTTCTTTTTATGCAAGCTGAATCCACACACATAGAAGATTTGTTAATAGCAACGGCAGCACAGTGGCATAGGGGTTAGTATTGCTGCCTTGCAGCTCTAGGGGTCTGAGTTTAATTCTGGCCAAGGGGTGCTATCTGTGTTCCCTGAGTTGGTGTGGATTTTCTTCAGGTGCTCCAGTTTTCTCCCACAGCTCAGAGACATACTGGTAGGTTAATTGGCTCCTGGGAACATTGGCCCTGGTGTGAGTGTGCACTTGCTTGTGTGTGTCGTGCGATGGACTGGTGCCCTGTCCAGGGCATACCCTGCCTTGCACCTTCTGCTTGCTGATATAGATTCCGGCTCCAGTGCCGGATTTCCCATTAGAGCCTACAAAGGAGGGAAACACTAGTGCCTCGCGAAAAACGAGCTGAAACAACACGCTTGAGATCGACTCTCGGTGCTCCAAATCAACAATCACATGCCTGTCTAGCGGCTATTCTATAAACTAGAAGTACCGAAGTGATGGTCGCTCGACTCACTCTATCAATAACGCGGTTTAGCATTAGAATAGTTTAAAGTGCATCGTGTCAACCGACGTAATTCAATTGGCGTTTACCCCTCTTTTTGCTAATTTCGGAGTGAAAGTGCCTCAGGCCCACGAACACCACCTGTCTGGCTCCACTGTGACCCTGAAATGGAGGAAGGGGTTAGAAAATGGATGGATGTTAATATCAATCAGATTTAATATGTAGAAACTATATTTAATATATACAAATATTTGTTGTTTTTTTATCAGCATTTTGGTATCCAAACCTTCATCAAAGCATTCATAAAAACCTGAGTTGATCAATTAGGAAATGTCAAAATTGACACTTAGCTGTTCTCCTTTCAATAATTATCTAAAGAAAATTATATAGGATGTTGCTCTAAAAGGAAAGATATGTACTTTTTATTATTGCTACTGTACATGCAGACAATTTGACAGACTGAATGATTATTTCATTCAAAGGAAGACTGTAACTTAATGATCTCTGTATTCTCATATAGGACAATACGCTGATGAAATCCTGTGGGTCAGAAGAGATCAGCTCGAAAGTAGAAAACAGAGAACAGGCTGATCCTTCCCACTCTGTCTGCAATCAAAACCAGCAGATGGATCTCGAAAACAAGGAAGACAAGAGAAGAGATTTAAGCCAGCAAGTGGACAGACTTCAGAAAGTCATTTATCAGGTGCACTGGTATACTCAAAACCCAAACAGTCTTCAGTAATACCAAAGTGAATATGAACTAAATGCCCATTGTTCCATTAGCTTATCTTCAATTTAGTATCAATACAGCATTGCATACACATATGTAGTGTAAATTTATATGCACCGATTCTTAGTATTTTCAGTTTATTGTCCTTTTAACAATTTTATGATGTATTTAATATACCATTAAATACAGTATCTATCTAAATTAGTGTGCAACCATTTGGTTTTGTAATCTGTAGTTTGGTTAACATGCCTCGGTTCTGCTACCATCCACAATTACTGTACAGAGGTGTCACTTGGTTTTAGTTTCACATGCCTGGCATTTCTCTTTTGCTTAGGTTCAAGGACTTCACCAGAGTCTGGCTTCTTTCTGTGCGGAACTACGAGACACGGATGCTGAGGCTGATGTCGAAGGAATGTGCCTTGGTGACACTGTAGTGGGGCTTCAACAGACAGAACGGAAACGAACAGAAAAGGAGCTGCTTGTCGGGGGTTTGCGGCAAAGGCTGAGTAGCCTCAGGGCACACACAAGTGGGTAAATATGTTCATAACAATTCCAGTTCCCAAAGAAATGTAATAATACCTAGAAAAACAAATAACTGTGGATCACTATCAATAATGTACTTAAGTGAAACCTTGACATTATAAGTTTGAATTCAGGCTGTGCTCATGCTTGTTTTTGCTGAGCATTCCATTGGCAGCGAAAATTCAAATAATTGTCTTCAAGGCACATTTACTGTACAAAGAAAGTACAAAAACTACTGCATTTAGACATAAAATTTGTATGAAGACATTATAAGCCCCATTAAGGTTACATACAGTAGCAAGCCTTATCTTGCTTATTGAGCATTGTCAGCATACTGTACTTAGACTTAGTTGTATGTTAGTTGAGTGTACAACAGTTGTGATCTCTACATCTGGCAAAATAGTATGTCAGTATTAAGTTTTTTTAAAGCAGTTTTTACAAACCCATGTGTTTATTAGTTGAAAGGATAACAGAAAACAGTTAATGAGACTTAACTCAAAAAAATCTAAAAAAGCCTCTTAGCCTACAGTTATATAGATTATGAAAGCTCTGTTTAATCTTGTTTAATGTAAAAATTTGCTTTATTTTTTAGTTCCCATGTAATTACAGAATAACCCGCAATCAGAAAGTGCAAGTCCATACAAACGTAATGACGAACATTATGTTTATCACATTGATGTGCTCTTACATTTAATTGTGAGAAACACCAGGAATAAATTTAAATTCTTCCCCCGATTGTACAGTATGAATAAAACTATGTCATACCACCAAAGGCCCAAGGATCAGATGTACTCTGATGTCTGAGTAATTTTATGAAGCAGCCCTGACTGGGACCATTGAGTCCCACGGGCACATCTTCACTCTGAACAGGCAGAGGCAGAAATATGAAAGTTCAGTACCTGCCTTATCAACTGAGAACACAAATAGAAGGAGTCAGCAAATTTTGAAAAATTATATCCTGGCTATATCTTTGTGACCCTTGAATAATAAGCACCTAGATTTCTCAGTGAGATAACACAATAGGAAGTTCTCCTGGAAAGAAATTCCTTCAGACTCATACAGTTCACCCACAGTGCCTTGTTCTGTCACAGTTTCCTGATTTTTGTTTTGTCACACCTTTTTACAATAGATAACGATACTTTTAGGGTAGAAATATATTAATTATAATGCATTCAGGAAATTAGGAAACAATATATCTGATAAAGATTAATCAGCTTTATCACACAAACCACATTGACTATCACAAAAGTTTAAAATGCACGTCTTATTTTTTACGGTGAACTCTTTTTAAATGGTCGCTTTATTTTTTTTACATCCAAGATTTAGCTGCAAGTGGGCCTGAAAAGGTGCACCCTTATTTCTCCATTACACACCGTTATGTAATGCAATTACTAAAACAGCTTTAAATCATGTCGCTTTAGCGGTTTTAGCTGATAGTGTTATTATCTCTTTTGCTGGTAGCAGTTTAAAGGTCAATTTATAATATTATTACCTGATCAGGGTGCTGACAACATAATTACTGTGCATTCTTTGCACGAAAGCTAAAGATTTATTTTAAAGAAAATTGAAATAAGAGGGTTTTTGACATTTTAAGTTGAATTGCTTTTTACCCTCTTTGTGAAGGTCTTGGTTAAAACAGTAGGTGGACACTGGAAATTGGAAGGAATGATTTATCACACTGTGCTTCTGGTCTTTTGTTGAAGCCCCATTGAAGTGCACCTTTTTGACAAGATGAAACTCGATTGCCAAATCTTTATGGAAGAGATCAACATAATATTTCTGAATCAGCAGATGGCTCGTTTGAAGTCAGCACATCAAATATGCAAAGTCAAGGTAAATTCTTATTGCGCTCAACCAATACGCGTTGGTAGTTCCTGTTCAGGCCTGAGGCTGCACTCAGCTATCAAGTGATGTATTCCCTAAGCATAATGTGGGGATATGTGTGACCTTTTAATGCTAATGTGTGAGCTTTAATGAACAAAACTGACTTTGTTCCAAAAAGCCACAAACAGTCCTAATTTCTTTGCCTTTATCATAATACAAGGTTGAATATACTATTTAAATAAACCTTGGGTAAACTGCATGTATACCATGATTGAAAGAATAAAATATAAACAAAAAAATCTTTGAATATGCATATCTTTCTAGCTAACATAGCTCTATTGTATATGTCTTATCTTTATCACTTCAATACCTCCACTAACAGATTTATTTGGTTGCTTGCTTCAGAGTTTTCATTAGAGGTTTCCAATTTGAAATAAAAACACATTATCATGTAGTTCAATGTGCAGATGAAAACCTGCACATATAATTAGCAATACTATTGAAATTCGAAATAATATTTTTAAGTCAACTTAATGTTTTAACATCATCATAATCAGAACGCTTTTGTTTTCTCTGTGCAAAAGTAATGAAAAAATAACGGACGTTTCTGTTTGCACTAGAAACAAAATCTGACCTGAACCAGATTTCTTCACAAAATCAAATTCTTTCTCACCCACTGAATTTTACTCAGTACTTTCATCCTCTCACAGACGAAGTATGGGGTGCTATCAAAGAACACTTGCAGTTTGCTTTGAAATCCATGTGTCACAGCCAAGCTCCTGAGCTTCTTTTAGGTGCCAAGTTTGTGGGAAAAGTCAAATGTTAATATTTATCATGTGACCTAATCAAGGTTAACGTACAGGTCAGACAGTAGAAAAAGCCTGAGAAATAATTCTGATCAGCCTAACCTTGCCAGACATTCGTCTTCTTTCTAATAAAGAGCAGACACTCGTTGTTTTTTGTTTTTTTTCGGTGGTGGTACCAGCTTTTTATTGAGGACAACAAGGAAATGTTTCATCATAATCTTAGTCTTTGTGATCCGTCAGAGCGTTAATAAAACAGTCTTTAAGAAAAAAAACATACTGAGGAAATAAGCTTAACTGGGCCATTTGACTTATAAATCTCAGCTGCAAGCTACTTAAATTAAACTGGGGGATTTCCCCCACTTTTTATTTATGATTATTTTATTTTTTGCCTGCTGTATTTTGGCAAAAACTTTTTTTCCATACATGGAATCTTTACCTTTATATATACAGTATATTCATTTGACCTTTTCCTGCTTAGTTATTAGTTAAGTTCTTTATAATGATAAGGAGTCAGATTGATAACCTGCAAATATACCACCACATTTCTGCCTCTATGGCACATGTGCATTTGAGGCATTTTGGATTTTGACATAGATCACATAAAGACAGGTAGATATCTGTGTGCATTCCTGCCTATAGGCAGATATTTCTTGAAGACAGCCCTGCTTAGACAAAAGGGATCCATTTTACATGAACTAATATGAGCAACAGATGTACATCTTACTACTGCACTCAACATACAATATTAAAATCAATTTATGAAACCAAAATTAAAAATGTGTCCTGATTGCGACACTTCACATCACAAATAAGTGGCTTCCCAATATCAGATTGATGGAAGGATGGATAAAAAAATCTGTTTGCTTAGTATCAATGAAAAGATCCAATCAGTCTTAAATATTTTCCCGTACAGTAAATATTGAACAATTCTGCTTATGCATAACAATATTTCATGGGGCACTCAGATTCTTCTTACATGCCACTCGCTAAAACAACATCTGTTGTGCTTTAATTGTGAAACTCTGAATTGCAGTTCAATCAAATCAATGTGAATTGAAAATTAAACTCCTTGAATTGATTATGAATTCTGCTCCTATTTACCCCAGCGATGGCCTCCTTGAATAAATAACTTAACCATTAAGTTAAGATAGACTTTCAAGAGAGGCACACTCATAATCGGAAGGAATTCAGACGAAGGTGATATGCATTACTAGTGTTTTTAAAGAGTTATTTTCATGGAGATCTAAAGCAGGTCCTGCTTTTATGTTTCAATGGAGCCTTCCCAGTGACCTATGTGGAGAAATGTTGATAGCTTGGAGGCGTTCACACAGCTTGGGAGGAAATAAAAATCACTGGAATTCTGGACCTAAGTATTTGGAAGATTTTAAGCACCCCAGCTTAAGTGGTATTCTCTGAGAAACAAGAGTTCTTATCTCTCCCACTACCATATGTTCACTTTCGCCGTTTGTGTTTCCAAATTATTGATGAAACAAGTGATTTTTCAACATGAGCTAGGTAGTGGTGTACACATCTTTTGCACAGATGACTGCATTTTATGTAGAGAAAGCAAAGGCTTGTTTGCATTTCACCGTTACAATTTGACCCATTGCATGGAAGCATCAGCTTGCTCCTAGGTTAAAAAGACTGCGAAACAGTGGCTTTCATACCAATGCTTTAAGAATGTGGTTGTTAATATTTCAGCACATATCATTCTGGAGACTGAGGACAGACTTAGAAAAACATCACCCGCGACACTAACTGACAGACAATGCCAACTGAACGCGAAGTGCTTGATTCCAGACCACAGTTAATTTGTTCAGAACCACAGTTAATTTGCTCTTGCCTGAAGTTTCATAAGTTTCAAATGACCTCGTCTTTGAAGAGAAGAGCTGTAGAAGGTTTCTGGTTTATGACAAACAGTCATTTCAAGTAAACAAAGAAATGCTGAATCTGACGGGCCCACAACATTAATGTGCCACCAGGGGCGTTAGCAATGCTTCCTTTTACTTGAAAATGAATAAATTAAGGGCATGAATATATTCCATTAAACACACAGCAACTGAAAAATTAGAGAACCCAGGAGAAGAGGAGAAGGTATGTTTGAGTAGACTACTCTGTTTCTGCTTCATTATGCCTTGTCCTGCATTTCCATGGTTTGTTTACAGGCCAGGGACAACATGACGAGCTGTACGTTGGGCCAGCTGCTATCCCATCAGCCCCCAGCAGTGCTGTTAGCTATTCAGGAGACAGCGACTGCTGGCACTTATGGCTTCAGAGTACAGCTAAAAGAAGGGAGCGGACTTGTGGTTGTAGATGTTGGAAATTCCAAACTCTGCGTGAATGACAGGTAATACAGCAGGGCCTTCTAAGGGTGACATTTAAAGATTTGGAGTTGCAACCTACCACCTAAAATCTTTAACAATCCTGGAAGAACACAAAGAACAATAATCGCACATGATCAAAAATAATCAATGCTTCCTGAGTGGTTATTTTCCTTTGTAATGGTTACCATGGTAACAATCAGCAGAGGACAGCATAACAGGAAACCCTTTAAACACAGAGCGTGATTCTGACCAAAAAGTGTATGAACCGATGAAATAACAACAATGTACTATAGAGTACTACACATATAGTACCAAGTGCAAGGATATTATGTAAGGCTTTACATAACCCCTTCTTTCTTGTATGTTTTATGGAAAGAAAGTCATACGTTTTGCATAATGAAATCCTATCTCCTTTCGAGAAAATGTACTGCCACAAAACAAAACGGTGGAAGAGTTCCTACCAGCAGCTCAACCGTTTCGCTTTATTTGATGAGATTAAAAAGAAAATGTTTTTTATTCCTTTCAGGGAATTTGCCTTTGCCGTTGCCCCATGGGTCTAGAAAATACAAGCTAAAATGATATGAATGCTTTTTTCCTGACAATCATTTGGGAATTAAGATTGTTTAATCCCTTTCCATAACTTTGTTCTTGCACTTGCTTCAAAGGAAGTTTCTATAAATCATTTGCGCACTGTGCAACGATTCATGTTTCTCAGGGGGCCATTGGCAGTGCTAAATTACTCTGTTGCTGCTGCAGGTTTAATAATGTTAAACTGTTACTCAGTGATTCAGTTACCACAGTTCTCAGGCCTTGTGTGTCCATCTGTTTCCATTTTAGATTGGTGGAGGTGAACGGGGTGAGCGTGGTGGATTACAGAGAGGAAGAGCTGAAGCCATTACTCAGCTGTCAAAGCTGCCTAATTGTTGTTCTGCGAAGGCCCGTCCCTTTCATTTCTTAGCCCTGTCCGTGCCTTGATGTTCAGGACGAAGCAGTCGGCAATCAAGAGTCCGACGAGACCGGGCCTGAGGGACTTACCAGGCCACTGAAACCTCTGAGCTCAGTAAGGCGAGGGTGAAGGCACACAGATGCAAAGTGGACACCAAGCTAAATCCTTTGGTTTGTATAAAAAAATCTATTTTCTCTTTTTCCATTACTCTTGAACCTTCCCACGTACGATTCAAGAGATATTTCCACTAACGATTAAAGAAGAAGTAGGCAGGAAAAAAATGACTTTATTCACATTAGAAGACAGAGCTGTTGTGTTTCTCCCTTTTCGTAGCCTTTGGACTTTTACAGCCTGCTTTTTTTCCCACTCAAAGGAGTCACCTTTCTGGGTTGTTGCGTGACCTCCACAACAAGCACCTTCTTATTTATGCAAGAATGTGCGTAATAACAGGTCTAGAGAAGGTTTATGTGTTCTGCCCCTTCTTTAAAAAAGCACCCCAATTCCATTAGAAACCTTTTTTTTAGACCTTGACAATTAGAGTAGCTTAAGGTCAAGTGAAGGTCCGGTAAAGAGGGCTCTGCCTATTTACTTTGTTTTCCTGCTGCTTTTGTTGGTCTCACAAATTCCATTCGATCATTCAATTTGTCTGGGATTTTTCTGGGATCCATGAGTGAAAATGTTGTTTGTTTAACATACTCTTGTGCATGTTTCTATACTATGTAACCACACCACACCTTGAGACAGGTCAGTTTATTGACATTTATTTATGTTGCAAATACTTAGGGGTGCTGAGATAGCTCTGCCTTGAGGGTGACAGTATACTGAGAGTGAGTGGCACTGTGTGTTATCCTATATGTAACCTATGCACCTCCTTGTTGCAGCTGTTGATATATGCTGTCATGCAGCTTGTCCTTTTTCTCAGGTTCACTGCTTGCCCATTAATCAAGTTACAAATAGTCACTTGGGGCCACATATGAAGATAACCTCACCTTGCTGCTCAGCAGAGAAAAATACATGTAGAAGTCTTGTTTTCTTTCTGTGCTACTTATCATTGGTGACCTAAAAGCTTAATTGTGCTGTTTGTGGGTGAAATAAAGAACTGTACAGGAAAACAGATTAACACCCATTTTTGTTTTCATTTGTTTTTTACTTCTTTCTATAGGATGTATTCTGTTTCTTTTAGATTTACTGACAATTATAAAATATATTTATATCATTTACTGGTTTCAGCCAATAAATACAGTAAATGGTGGTGTCAGAACTTGTGTAATTCACTGCCAATGCATTCATGTAAAATATTCTAAGAACATTCAATTCCTAAAAAATATGTTTTCATAAGTTCATAAGTTTTCAACATTGAAAAACTTCATCACTACTCAATGTTGACTAGACGCACCCTTCTTTATTCAAGGTAAAGATGCTGTATCAAGCTGCTTGCATTTGTCTGTCCAAATGAACGTGATATGATCAGAAGATCTCTCAGGAGTAAACAAGCAAGATATTCCTGGCTGGCACTCAGTTTGAACAATGTGGTAACTGGCTGTGCTCCATGTTGTGATGATGAGTAAACTGCCTAATGTTGTTCCTCAAGAAGATGCACCTTCCAGTGGAAAAATTGATCCCAGTCTTAATGGACAATTTCATGGAAAGTAAACAGTAATGTAATACAACGTCAAAGTCAAAGTCCCAGAATTAATTTAAGCTACAGATACAGAATATTTTTTTCCATGCCCTTCATGGTAAAATAGAACAAAAATAAAAATATTAAAAGTGTAAACTGGAAGCATGCTCGTGAGTCCTGTGACTTTTTGGCATAAGGCTGCAATTATCGGCTGAAGGGCTATTTATATGCTGTGGATGAACTTTATTTTTAACCTTGATGATGTTCGTTAAGCATAATAATGAGCCCTTGGCATTTCAGTTTGCAAGTGAGATTTTCTGAGAAGGCATACTGCCTTTCCTTCATGACACTTGTTCCAACCCATTGACCTTCATGGGGAACTGTCTGCACACAAGATGACAGAGCTAATTTTTTGTGGGATTTTAAAAATCAAGGCAGAACATGAGTAGAGTAATTAATAGGTCGGTCAATGGAAATGCAGACACCCTGCTAAGCTGACTGACATCTTCTCTCTTATTATCCCCTCCCTGTGACCACAGATACAGTGGCAAAGCAACCCTCAGCAAAGTTCTTTGAATTTACTTTTTAATTAGTTCACACCAAGAACTGGATGGCAACTACACTTACTGGCTTGGCACTGTTATTTCACATTGGAGCCTTTCCTTTGCCAGCTTCATATTTCCGCTGCAAGAAATCTAGTCTGTGAAAAAATCCTTTAAAGCCATTCAAAGAAACAGAGACCTGTGCAATCACAGAAGTTTCGGAGGATTCCCGCTTTTAGACAAGAGCACAAAAGCCAAGACAACCTAATGAATTCTGAAGCAGGGCCTTTGAAACAGACAAAAGTACAAAGTTCCTTTTTTATGACATAAGTTGTACTTTTTACCATCAGTATAATTGTATTTGCTAGAAAAGAGCTGAAAGGAAGCCTTTTGAATATCGTTGTTGTACATGATTTAACCCATGCCTGCTGCTCTAAAAACAAATCAGTTATCCAGCACACAGTGTACCCAGACAATGCCGAGAGCTTTGCTGGAGGAAGTATAAAACAATCAAAAGGAAGATATAATCCAAACCCAGGGAACAGCACACAAAGGAGGTCACAGTCGACAAGTCGTTGCTGAACAATTAAAAAGAGGTCAGAACCCGAGAAGGTTCCAAAGAGGCTCAGGAATAAATCGGAGGGAATTTGTAATTGCTGCTTTTATAAGAAACATATTAACATTTTCAGCGGAGAGGGAACTGAAGCCACTTCCATAAACACAGATGCTGGCGAAAGAAAAAAGGCATTCTGAGCCTCTCACTGGTTCCCCCCACCCCCAGCCCACGATCCTGTCTTACCATGGCTCTTTAAAGAGCCCTTTTTTTCCATTGAAAAACAAACCAGAACAAAAACAAAAGCAGCAGGAGTAGGTCAACAAAAACACACAAACCCCCGTCACCAATAGCATAGAACATTTGCAATGCACGAATGTGGCAAATTTTGTGTGGGAGGAAACCATAGAACATATCTTTGTTCAGGCTTTCTGCAAGCACACAAGCCTGGATCAGGATTTTGTCTGGTCTTGCAGAGTTAGGCGGGTAAGAGGTGGCTGACAGTGGTGTGAAGATGGTAGAGCTGGGTTTGCGGAACTCATCTGTTTACAGGCTCCTATTACTGTATTGTCGAGAGTACAGCACCCCTCCCAGCTGCATGTTGCTGAAAGGTCAAAGTTAATTGAGCAGGAGCTCTTGGCGTATATGGACATGTTATAGATTTCTTAAGAATTAACCTGTGCTTGCCAGAAAATGTTACGTATGCATATTACATAATTTCATGCCAACTAACACAGATTTTAGAATTTCTGGTTGAATGCGAAACCTGCTTAAAAACTGTTTATTAAAAGAAAAGATTCTTGAATGTTGTGTATACTGTATATCAAGTAAAGAAGCTTGTTTTAAAATGTTTTACTCTATTAGGATACAGCCTGGAAGAGCATTAGGATTGATGAACAGGAGTATCGTGTGTAAGTTTCATTTTTATTGATTATGTACTGACTGACCTTTATGGTGCACCACAGTTTTCTGAAGTTGTTCTAACATACTGTATATCAAGGATGGAAGTGCATGGATATAACACATTATAGAAATTAATAACTCTTATCACGCTGTTGATCAGTGTGATACTGTAAGTCTTTTACAGGTAATCAACTCAAAATTACAGAAGTCATTACTCTGTGTGACAGCTGTAGCTGGTAATAGCAGCCTGCTTCATTGATCTAACAATTGGATTCCTGAAATATCTTCTTGAGAAGAACAGTCTTATTTTGCCAACAGAGAAGATAGTAAATATGGAACTGCAAAATCCTACTAAAAAATGCACCATTAGAGGTGTCCATTAGTGTATCACCTAGAGATTAGATGACTGAGGACTAATTATGATACGATCTCTCATCGCACAAGGTTGCCATCCTTTGGCCTTGTCTAGGGGTGGGAACCATAGTAGGTTTGATTCTTAATGTCGCTTCCTGGTAGGGCTTCTACGGGTTGGTCACAAGCATGTGGTGATGCTATAATCATCAAAACCTGGCGGGTTCAACGCTTAGCTTTTTTGTGGTCTCCTTCTCTATATATAGTGTGTCATTATATCCTGGCACCTATATTCCTATATGCATATGTAACCTTTTCTTTTAAAGTAGAAAAGGAGTATTACATTATTGTTTTCCTGGGCAAATACAAAATCGACCTCTAAAATTATCCCAAGTCTAAAATTATCCATGGCTTTCCCTAACTGTCAAGAAAATGATATATTTGTACTAGGTTTCACCAAGCCCTTCATTATTGCATGGGAGCAAATTTAAATGAATGTTCTGCTAATAACATGGAGGAGGTGTGTGAAATACAATTGATTATCGGCATTGCAGTGGCTAGGTTGTTTATGAGAATGTAGCTGCCCCTGAGACTTGCTTGAATTATTTCAAATATGTTCGTGTGCAAAGCAAAGCTCCTCAGTGGAAATTGTGTCTGGCTGAGGAGGTCATTTTTAGCAGGCATATGTTTATTTGTCAAGCAGCCTTTCTTTTTTCGGGTATCGTCTAGTAAATAAGTGGATACATGCCAAAGCCCTGCATGAACCCAGCACAGGATGTGGCCGAAGGAATTTCTGTTGATTCCATGGGAATTAGAGAAATGCTTAACGAGCTAGAGTGCTGAAGTCAGGCAGCACATCTGTTAAGGTGTCTGTGTATTCAATAACATTGCAAAGAAAAAGACAAATGAGCAGATCTTTGCTGCTTGAAACATTGCAGGTCCTTGCAGGTCCTCAAAAAATACAAGCAGAATACTTGTCGGAAAAAAGATTTAAGAGCTGGCTGTGAAACAGAGTGGCGCCTAAAACAAACGATAACAAGTGCATTCGTTTCGTGAAAGCTGAAGACACAAGCAGGCCTTTCTTTGGGAGCCGCTGCCTCAGTGACTTGTTAACCCACGTATTGCTATACGTTAGCCAGTGAACCAGGCGATGTAGTGGAGTGTCTCCCTCGTGATGCTTCATCTGAGGAGCACAAACCATGCCTGGAGCCTCACGAAGTACCAGCATTGCGCTTCTACCAGGCCTGCCAGCAAAAGATGCATCATATGTTTTTTAAAACAGGTGTGCAGTTGTCAAGAGGAAAGAAACGCAACATTTTTAAGGTCAGGATGCTTGAGAATGGATGGCAGTGAACTTAAAATCATCAGATCAGGGCAGCCAGTATTATTCCTTTTCAAATGTTATTTTTTCTAAAGCTTTCACAGAATGTTTGACAACATCTCATACTGTACTTTGGAAGTAATGGCATTAGGCTTAGGTCTTACTGTAGGTCAATGAGCTGAATTGTAAAATTAAATTTGCCCCAGACCTTTATCTTTCCTACCTAACTCCTTACATTAACTTAATATACAATAATGTCTATAAACCTTAACCTATGACATCCTAGCCAAGTACAGTATATTTAGGTTTAATAGCTATTTGTTTTAAGATATAGTGAATGCAGAAAGCCATAATTGTCATTTCCTGGTCTTTTATTTTAATTTTAATTAATGCAACTAAAAAAATAAATTAAAGCTTTTGAAGTCTCATGTTGTAGGTCTAGTCTGTCTCAGTCATGCCGGTGCTTGTGAATGAGTCAAGATACAACCACTATACACGTTTCAGTTAGCAAATTCAACTTCAGGCATCCCATTTAATTTTGCTGGGTTAAAATGGGCTCAGTCACTTAAATCCGAGAAATCTAATGCTAATAAGGAGGTAGCAGACAGTTTAGAAAGTCCCGGGGTTATTTATGTCTTAACCTCATCCTGATTGATTGTGATCTTTTAGGTTCTTTGTTGTTCACACAGTCAGATGCAGTCACATTTAGTTGGCACAAAAAGCTGCTACTGCCACCTGCTGGCGAAATTTATTATCGGGCTTTTACCTGCTCCCAGATGTCGCACTACACAATTGTTGTTGACCTTTTATAATTTTCCCAAGATTAAGAAATTTTGGTTTTGATTCCAATATAAAAAGGGATATCATGAAGTCCTGTATGCAAATGGCATTACATTGTATATGGGATATCATTTCAGTTATAGCAGTACAGTGCCTGCAAGAAAGCTTTGAAAATACGACCTTGAAAAGGCTTTAAAAGAAACTTAGTATCACTTTTCTTGACGAGTTTTAAGAATTTGAGTGGATTTGAATTGTAATAATATCCTTCTCTTATTGTCAGTGCTCTTTCTCTATTTGACTTTATAGTGAAGAAGAACATATAAGAAAAGGAAAATTAAAGTGTATTATAGTTAGGTATAAAAAAAAAGAACTAAGAACTAACCATGAAAAGTCTTCTTTTAAACAGGATTTCCCTAAGCATCAGGCTTTTCCATATTACTTTTACTGGCTACCCCCAATTTAAAAGTTTGCATGCACTATTTATTAAAGTGTGAATTCTGTAGAAGGTATAAAATAATAAATAAGAGTAGAAAAAAAAATAAAATTTAGTTTAAGAATTCTTTCAAGCTGGGAAATCAACTAGATGTTTTACTGCTTCCACTTACTGTTACTGAAATAGGCAATAATTTAGGTTCTGCTGGTGTGAAGTATTTTTTTTTTCATTCTGTACTTCAAAGAAATAGTTTAAAGGGAAATACTATGCACAATGTCATGAGTCATTCCTTTCTAGTAGCTCACACTAGGAAAATGTGGCTCACATATAGAATGTTTAACAGTTAAATGTTCTACATTTGAGCCACATTTTCTTAGTGCAAGCTACTGTACTAGAAAGGAATTACTCATGACATTATGCATAGTATTTCAACTAAGGTTTTTTTGTTCTCACATTATGCCTTTGAGGAGTTCCGTAACAATTACAAACATTGTATGTGATACAATTACAATGAGGTGGTGTTAAAAATTGCATTTAAATTATAGATGATTTGTAAAACCACTCTATTACATACAATTAATGTACACACCTACCATCAAAAAAATGTTAGGCAATCAGGTACAGTAGCAAGCTTTTTAACAGATCCTATGGGAAAACTGAGCACAGCATTTCTCTGGATCTCTACTAAATTCTGACTCAGAGCTGTTTGGCAACTTTTGGCTTTGAATATCTTACCATTTAATCTTAATTTGCACTATAATATTTAAAATCATAACACCTCAGAAACAGACACAGAAGAAGGGATAATAGCTTCAGCATTAGCCTGTTAGACACCAGAACCAGAACCTGTTTTCATGCTATGCATTATGGGAGGCTGCCAGAATGTCACCAGTTTGAAAGGCAGAAATTTGTTACTTGTGCTCAAAAGCAATCAATCACCATCCACATCCTTTACTCCCACATACGACATTAATACCACAACTGTCATCAACTTGAGGTGCAGAATTTGTTTCCTTCTATATTTTTCATTATTCAGTATGTCTTTGTTTTTGGTCTTGTTTTTACTTTTAGTTTTAAAACATGCAAAACTGCTAAAAAGTAACAATAGTTATACAAGATACAAGATCTGGACCAAATACAAGATCTAGAACAACTGAATCACACTAGACTGTATTTAATACATTCAGGAACGGGATAGTACAAGATAAGTGGGACATCTGTTTTCAGATTTGAATGAATGTTTTAAGAGTTCAATAATTTCCATAGTAATTTGTATTTTTCAAATTGGTGTTATGTTTTATTTTAAAAGATGAAAAATAAATATAAACCTTTGAGCTGAAATAAAGGTCTTACTTGAGGAAATGGCACTTATAATATTTTGTCCTCTGGTGAATGACATAGGGCATTACAGTACATTAAAAGGTTTTACTTACTGTAAGGGTAAGGCCACTTGTGCTAGTTTTCAGCATGTTACAACTTGTATATCATATATTTGATAGGGTTTTATCCTAGAAAACAAATGAATATTTTTCTGTCTGGAAACCTAACTTCATTTACACACTTTTTATATTAAAATGAATGGCTCCAATTTGGATCCTGAAAAAAAAGGAGAAACATTAAAACTCACTTCACTAATAAAGTATAATATTAATTTAAATAAGAATAAAAATGTAGACAATATCATTGAAATGGTGAATGGATTTTCCCCACAACAGAGAATATTTTCAGGCAACAACGAGCAAAAGCCCTTTGTGTGTGATAAATGTTTTGGCATCCTCATCTGTGGCTTCTACACAATCGGCACAGCTATTTCTTTCTTTCATTTTTGGAACAAAAAGGAAGATTACTGACCATTCACAATTACAGAGGTGCCTTCTCAGGTGATCAGCTTGCATTGCAAGACTAGAAAGAGCAAAGGCAATATGGGCATGGTATTCTCTATAAAAAAGCCAGGAAAACATCAAAAGGATTTAAGCTTCCAGTGCCGAAATGATCTTTGGCTTTGAGCTGCCGGCATTGGTTTCTCTTGCATAATAAAAATTCTTCCCACACTCTGAATTACAAGCACCTCATTTATAAAGCTCTGTACAATTACTGGCACCAGCACTGTCAGCTAACTGTGTAGCCTACTGGCTAAAAAGAGAAGCAGACCAAGGTCATACAGATGATCTAGGAAGTCGTAACTTGCAATCTGACGTTATCATACAGTGTGCGGAGATATTGGTTTCTTGGCTAATCGACTATCTAAACCAGCTTTTCAGGAATACTGGTTATATATATATATTCCTCTGTATTTCATTCACATGCCCAGAGAAAATGGGAAAGGTCAGACAGTACCTTGTGTGAAAAATGGCTTGTTTAAAAGGGATTGAATAAGAAAGGAACCTGGAATTTCTCTCTTGTGCTGATGGTAAATATTTAAACAGCTACAGGCTACTACAAAAAGTCTGCAATGCAAAACCCGATTAATATAAACGATGATGTGTACAGATATTATAATTATTTTTTAGAATTCTACATTTATATAAATATATTTAATACAATAATTTTGAAAAAAACACAGGACTGTGTTTATTTCTATACTATATCATTTGATATGATATGAGATTCTATTTCAACTGTTTACAGGTTTGAAAAACATTCTTTATTTTCTCTACTTTTAAAATGTTTTTGTTTGTTTTTACGGGACAGTACCTTGCCACATATTTAACTTCCTGGTTTTGCACATAACTGATGAGAGTATTCCATTGTTCGGGGGAGTCAAAATGGCTTTCCTATATTAACAGCAAGCAAGTTATTATTTTTAAATTATAGTAGAGTGTGTACAATGGGCTGTCACTCATTCATGGGAAGATTGTATATACCTTTGCAAAAACAGTATGTTTGAGATGGCTTAATAACCTGACTGCATCTTAGCAGATAGTATACTGTATTCTAGAACAGCCTACTTCCTACCCAGCATCCCCCTCAAAATTATATACACCAGTTGTTCACAAACTGCAAAGTCTTGTTTTTTGTTTTGCTAAGAGTATTTCAATTTACAGTATTTCTGCGATTCTGGACCTTTTTTTATAATAGATTATTCAAAAATATCCTCAAGTATACAAAGGGTATGCATCAGACTTCAAAGTAGCATTCTTTGATAAGGCTCTGGAAGAAGTATAGGATGATATAAAATAATTGAGTTACTGCATTGTGCATACAATGGGAGTGATCATATTACTCCGTTAGCTGAGTACAGTTAGGACTGAGTTTGTGGAACTTCAGCAAACCATTAAAGGAATTTCTTTATCTGAGGAACATCTGCATGTTTTTAGCTGTAGGTGTAGTTCTCCCACAGTTTCTCATTTGGCACAACAGTATTAATGACTGGGAGAATAAGTGAAGCTCTGAACTTCCACACACTCGTCACATCCACGTACAGTACCTCACCTGACTCTCTCTTCTACCCCAGGCAAACACAATATCGGCCAGTTATATTCTCACAGTTTGAGGGATTGATAGAGAAATCTTGCCACTCATCCAACCTTAGAAATGACTGTCTTATTATGCTAACTTGCTGTTTATTTATCAATATTAAACACCTTATATAGGGCTGAAACAAAAAAGTCTAAACATTAAGTGTTTTCTTCCAATTCCAAATGTATCTTTTTATGTCCTCCACCAGATGGCAGTGAAGGTCTCAGACTGGGCACTGGTACCACAGATTACAGGTCTAAGTAGCCCACTCCTCTGTTTTACTGAAAACATCCAGATGCTAACTGAAAGGAGTCTGACTAATTTTAATGGACCTTATTTCATGGATGTAGTGTACTTTGGAGTTTCAGAATATTTTATATTGATTAATTCTGCTACTTAGGTCAAATAGCAGCTCAGTATGAAGAGCTGCACTTCATGACTCTACCAGCATGCTAACCACTTATTATAATCCTGTGCATTTATATATGAGTTTTCACACCCATGGGTCCCAAAGTGCTATTACATATAGGAGGGATCCCACTTCATCCACTACAGAAGTGCAGCAATCATTACACGCCTGCAGCTCCTCTACACACCACATCAGGTTGAGAAGTTGGTAAGTAATTCAACAAATACATGAAGGGGGAAACTTACCTGATTTTAATTGTAGGTCATCTCCTTTCCTCATCCTGGCCCAGCCTAACTCCTGAGATATGAAGAATTCATGCACCTAAGGTAAGGAATGCACTACCACTACCCTGTTCATATTCCACAGGCAATGTCAGTGAGCTGTTTTAAGAAGCAGGTAAAACACACCTTTTAAATTTAGCTTCTATTAATTTATCATTGTTTGTTGTTTTTTTAATTATATTTTTTATTTTTCCCTTTTATTTCACGTTGACATTTTATGCCTTGTGATCATCTTTTACAATCTTCTACTTTATTTGACATCATTTCAAATTTTACTTTAAAATTCCTGGTTATTACTCCTCTTTTGTATTTCCTATTGCCATGAGTACTATTGTCTGATTTCTTTTATTTTATGCTTTTATCTTATACTTCACAATTTATGGCCTCTTGTATTTTTATCGTGCTATTTTATGTTTGCTCTGTAAAGCACTTTGAGCTGCATTTTTGTGTATTAAAGATGTAATATGAATTTGTGTCTGCACCCAAAGTTTAAAGGGTGTGTGGGGGTGGACAAAGCCAAGGGCATGGTCATACTGTGCCATGTGGATATTTCTGCAGGCGACTCTGCTTACAGATACCTGATACGTGATCTAACCCCTTTTTCTGACTATGCTATACAGTATGCTGCATGGTAACAATACAGTCAGAGGCGAATGTATCCTTGGCAGGTACTCACTTGCAAGCTACTGTACATAGACCATGTAATAATGGTAATCCTTAGACTTATATGGTGTTTTTCTGGGCACTACACTTAAAGCACTTTACAGATGATGGGGACTCCTCTCCAACACCTCCAATGTACAGCATCCACCTGAGTGATGCATCGGCAGCCAAAGTGCACCAGTACGCTCAGCACATATCAGCTATCAGTGAGGAGGAGAGCACAACGATGAAGCTAATTGATCATTTAAAGATTCCCATGCTGAAGGTATATCTCTATATGTGTATACATACATAGTGTATGTGTTTGCATATAAGCCTTGATTGTCTTTGGTCGACATCAGGCTTTTTCTTCTTTGCATTTCTTAAATAGAGAACTCATCTCCTTTTAAAACAAAATCTGTATCCAGTTCAAAGGCTGGGCCCTGTCACAGGTCTGACACACTCCTAGTTAGTTGGTGGTAATAAAGTGGTGTTTTCAGCAGGAGACCAATCCTTTAATGTCAAGTGCTGGCACTTTTGCATATTATTTTATTGAACAGCATCTCTTCAGCTTGTTACTTTTGTGAAGGGCAAGGTGTTAACAAAGCATTTTACACATAATTTTCCACAGCTGTACAGAAATTGTACAGTATGACACACAATGGCTAAGACAGTCACTGAGGCAAGGGGAAAACGTGAGTGTGTATTCACTCTCTTGTCTTAATAATGTCAGAGCCATTACAGGAATCTTAGGTTGTTTTACCCTTAGCATAATTTAAGAAGCTGCTAGATACAATACACTAGACTATCTAAAAATATGGTTTACTGCTGTTTTCTTGCTGAAGGCATTGTCTATATAAAGTGACTTGCAAACATCTATGTTTCAGTCTCAAATTAAGAAATTAAATTAACCTGAAGTGGGGAAAACTTTTCCTCACAATTTCCACACCTCATGACTCTGCAGCATGGAGAACATGTTCATAAAGTAATGATTTTAAGACGTAGGGCAGCTGGTTAAGATTCAACATGAACATGATGTTTAATTGTTAATGAGTCTGGGTTAATAAAAATGCACTTGCATTTCTTGCTTTCATGATGGGCATGTTGCACTGAACCTTTTGTTGTTTCCTCTTTAAAAAACTCTTTCTACAATTTTCCAGGTCATGCCAGATCTGACCTGAAAATCTACAGGAAAGTGGGGATATGGCTTGCCTGAGTATTTTTATTTTCTGTGCTCCTTTCTTGGGGCTGGTGGAGTTTTTAGGATGGTGCAAAATGCTCATGTGGGAATCAACCAGTGAAATGGAGCAGATGATTAGGTGTGAATTGCTGACAACTGTGAAGCCAATCAACCCTTCTTTTTAAAGAAGAAGAGCTGCAATCTTGATTTTGATAAAGATGACAAATTTAGCCTTTTCTTTGTACTTTATTTTATATGTAATACTTGGCTAAATTTGTCCTAACACAGCTGTAACACATCTTATGAAAGGACACAAATGTGTTTTAAGAGGGCCATATTTCATACCTAGCTACTTCAGTAGTCATCATATGAATAATGTTTGAGCTTTTTTGTGAGAAAATCAATCCAGTGAAGAGTCCAGCCTTTTGCATTTTAGAATGAACGTACAGGGACTAAATTCTCGGCAATTAAGCCATTCCAACTTTTGATAACACAGTAGAAGTTTAAGTAATCAAAAATCCAGTCCGACATTAGTTTAAAAAGTAGCTTCAGCAGAAATAAATGAAACCAATGTGTATTAATAGGATTCTTTAAAACGAATTTATATATTCGACTCTTTATTTTAAAAAGCAGCAGTCGCATCTCCTTTTGGCTTCACGGTCGTGCAGCCTTTAAAAATTTAAAGCCACTTTGTGTCGTCTTATTGCAGAGCAGGAAAAAAATAAATAAAGACTCTCCCTTGTTCGAAGATTCCAGCTGACGTGCCTTGAAGCAGCACGAACGAGACTCAAGGGTCTCACCATCCACACTCCATGTGATTGCAAAAATCTGCTCTGCCTCAGTGCCGCTGCTCCTCCCATGGGGACACAATACATTAGCACGTAAGAAAGGTTTTTGTGATGCCGCATTGATCGCGGCCCATTTTTTTTTCACTTTCATAGCAGCCCCCCCCCCTTAATAACGGAGGTTTGGTCTTTCCTGTTGATTAGCTCTTATCCACGATAGAGTAAAACAAATTGTCAAGTCACTTCATTAGAGAAAGAAGAATCACAACACAGTATATTCGTAAGGGTACGCAAAATGTACTCCTAAGTAGAGCGAAATATTAAGGCATGTTTGTTTCTGAATCTCTGGTTAATTGTGTCAATTAAAGCTCCGCTTCTACCAGATTTTTTCCCATGTAAACTGAACCACTTATAAAACGATCAATAGAAAATAAATATATTAAACTGTATGCCCTAGCTTTTTATGTGCTGAATGTATTGATTGTTACTGCAACAGACATTTGTCCAAGTCAGTTCAGCTGGATGGCTGTTAGTAGGAGGAAATTAAATATTTTCTCAGGGTACCACAAAAGCAAAAGTGCAAAATACACTATATATCAGATATATGAGTATATAAAGCTATTTGCATAATATTTGTACTGCAATCAATAAAGAGCTGATAAAGATATAAATATTCAATTATTTTCATTCAATCCACTATGTGTCTCCAAAACAGACATGGGCCTTAAAATGGCTGATTAATAATAGACTAAGTTAAATATTGTTTAAAAAAATAAAGAAAGGAATAACCTTTTAAATTAAAGTCTAATTTATCAACATATTTACGTAATTTTATTACAACAGAATTGAATCTGAAGGCTTGAAAGGACAGTTGTCAGAAACAATCTTTATTTGGATTTATACAGATTTAATTAAAGTTACAGTGCTAAAAGAAAGATATCACACCACCCTCCAAATCAAAGTAAAGTTAAATATTAGCAGTGAGCTAGCAGTATTCTCACTTTTTCTCATTTTTCAGCTTGCTTGCTTATACAACACATAACTACAACAGAAGGAGGAGAATATTTGTCTAACTCTTCTCTTACTTTGAAGAAACAGTCTCAAAATATTTTAACTAAACACATTTTTCATGAAAGAAATTAAGTTTTCTTGCTGGACAGGAATATGCAGATTCTATTCACCTTTAAGTGCACAAGACTACACATCAAAACAAGACCCAATTTCACTGTGCTGTCTCATTGCTACAACAACTAAGAGTTTTGCCAGCAGGGGTCTGTTCGGTTTTGTTAAGTTCTAACTGCTATGTGACTCATTGCAGAATGCTCTGAGAAACAGTAGTATTCCCATGAAAGAGCAACCTAAAAAGAAATATTGATCAAATGACAGGTTAGAGCAGTGAAAAGGAGTTTTCTTTCAATATACCGAAGATCCCAGAGGCAAATTACCTTGGCCATTCTTAAAAGTCTAAATTTCATGGTTGTTCTCAACTGTAAACAGGTCAAAATAGTTCCCTTATGATCCACTATGGTGACATCTTTTGTTGAACATGTAACAGAAAAGAAAAAAGAAAAACGGATGTGATCTTGATGCAGTGTTCAACACATTGCACATTCATGGCTTTGAATCGCAAACATTATTTATATGTATATAATATTATAGTATTGCTTTATAGTATTATAGTATTGCTTTATAGTATTATAGTATTGATCCAAATAGTTATTCTTGTATTGCTAATAAATTTGAGAATTAGCAAGTACATTATAATTTATCTGATCTTAACTCAACATCAGATCTTTATGATATCCTAGTTAGATTTAAATACATGATTATATTTTTTAAACTGATTATTAAGAAAGGAATCTTAATTGGGTACGGTCTATTTCTCTTGCTTTCTCTTGCTTGCAACATTGTCTTCATAATAATGAATTACAGTTAGAATATTTCTGTGAAAGACATATATCCCCCCCCCCACCCCTCCATTTTTTATTCCTTCATCCTGACTCAACACTGCCCCTGAAGCTAACCCTTCATTAATCTCTCATGAGGCTCCATCCACTGCTAACTATGGTCCATCATCTTCAGATAAATTAGAGAACTGATCGTTTCTATCTGCCCTTTATGGATATACTGTACCAACTATTGCAAGAATGATAATTTTTTAATGACATGAGGCATATTAAATTTAGCCCCTCATGCCTGATAGGGGGTTTGATTCAGCTCCCAAAAGGTATTCTTAAACAGATCCCAGCTATTGACATTTTGTGTCTGTCTTGTCTATTTGACCAAGTTTAGTAAAGGTGTATATAAATTATCATGTTAAAAAATCGAAATGCCTTTGATGTATGACATGGTGAATGCCCTGCCCCCACTTCCTTTAAGGTTCGAAGCTCCCAGACGGCAATAATGGCTCAGTTTGGCTTTGGGTGAGTAGGTGTGGGAGCAGAGGTAGACGAGGCCTCATAACACTTAGAGGGTTTTGTAATCAAGTGGAAAATGTGGCCCGCTTTGACAAGAAAAGATTGCAGTTCCTTGTCCATGTCACTCTTGTGTGCCCGTGGAGATGCAGAAAGACAGGGGAGTAAACAGAGTGCAAATTGTTCAGAAAGCATGAAAATGGCCCCGCTTTCAGGCAGACCTTTGCTGCTGGCATTTGCTAGCTGGGCTTTTCTGGGGAAAAGCCATGATCTTCCTGTCTCTTTCTGACAGATGCTTTCGATGATCTGGAGCCGAAGATCGGGACCTGATGGTTGACCAACATCCAAAAGGCATCATAATCTGCACATTCCAGGAAAGGATTGCAAAGCTGGCTTTTTAAGGAACAGCAGGGAATGAAGAACATGGAAGTATTTTGTTTTCTCATGCATTTTATTTTTTCATTAGACTCTCAGCAGAAAGAACTTCATGTTACAAACAATTATAACAAGAACAAATCAATGTTGTTTTTCTGCTTACTTGGCCAACATATTTGTTTCTAGCACAGAGATTTGGACCAAACACTGCCCTATACTGTATAGTATATGTTAGGGTCTTTCAAAAAAAAATTTCCATCAGAACCTCATTTTCTTTTGGATTATGTACACCACTTTACCTTTGTGCCATTATGGTTAAACAAGATTTGAACTATAATTGTTTTCTTCACTCTAAATATACTTTGGCTTGAGGGGGGTTCAGAATGGGAGGGAAGTGGGAGAGATGGAAGTGATGAGATTGGATTGGGTGATTCCCTGATAACTCAGACATGTAGGCAGAGTTTGCTTTGGTATCCCTGCCTGCAGGACACAACTTTTCTGATTCTATTATGCAGAACAGTTGATCCCTAGGAAAAAAAAGAAAAGCAAAACATTACAGATGCCAGCAGAGTGTATAATAAACATCACACAAGGACAAATTTTAGCGAGTTTGTTTAGACAGCTGAAGCACATTAGATACAAATAGCTTTTAGTGGAGAAGCACATTGTTTAAAACTAGGTTATCGTGGATGCTCATTTCAGAATTTGTAGCAGATAGGATCACAGTAATTCCAGGACTACTCCAGTACAAATTCCAATTCAACACTTCAGTTCCAGACATGCATACAGTATATATATATATCTACTGTAGATTAACATATGTAGATGAACAGTATAATGAAATGGAGATTTCTAAATGTTTTGACAGCTGATATGATAGAGGTTACATCACCAACTGCCAGCTTTTATGTATTCTTTAAAGGGCTAAAAGGCATTTATAGTATTTTTTGAACCATGACCTTATCCAATGTTATACACAATAAGTATGCTAGTCAGTTCACATTCTGGTAGTGTATTGTATTCTTTCACCCCCTGGGGACTAAAATATGTAGTTAAATAAAACTTGGATTTACATTACATTCTTTGCCTTTCTAGATTATTTTACTATTTATCTGAAATACTGTAAATTTCTGTACAACCATTTGATTTTCATTTTGTGTAGTTGCATATTTAGGGGTTTTCATAAATGAAGAGACTAGAATAAGAGATAGTTATATCACAGACTGTAAGGAACTTCTAAGATAAATCATGATTAATCCATTCAATTGTGAGTGGGGTTTTTGTGATTTTGATGGAACCCGATGATCCTGTACTTTATCAGGGGGATTTTCAGAGCTTTTTGCTCCCATCTGAAATTAGTTCTTAAGTTTTTGGAAGTTTGCAGGAATGCATTGACAATGCCAGTCAAGCTAGATTAAAAAATGGGAGCATAAAAAACAATATTTGTGCTTTATCTTAATTTAACAGGAGCTTTCAAAGTGGTCCTGGAAATCCTCCGGAAGACTCAACAAAGAAAACTAGTTCCTAATTTTCAAGGTCAAGCTCATCCATAATTAGGAGATACATATTGTGTCACTGCTCATCTACTTTGTATTCTTTACACCAGACAACACAAGGCACCTGTTTCAGAAGTTGCCTTTAAGTGACATATGTGTCTTGGAAATAATGTGTGCTTGACAAAGAAGTGCAACTGAGGTCTTCTAAGCAGCTGTAAAATGTTGAATTTTTACCATAAATTAGCATGTCTTAAAGCATGAAGCTCGGGACAAGCTGACTGTTAATTACTGTTTGAGAACAAAAATGAAGCTAAGCAAAGTACATGTAGGTGTGTGGTGCAGTATGTGTTCAAAGTGTCCTCTCTGTCCTATCGATACTACAGGACAGAATGTTCTCCCTGGTGCTGGATAGAGGCAGGATTGAGTCACAGGCCTAGACTAGACTCCTGCACTCACGCCTGTTTTCTCCAGCTCAGTGATTGCTGATGTGAAATATTGATTTGCACATCTGCCCATATCATGAAGTCTAAGCGGCTCTTGTCAAACCCGTTTATAACCCTTTTCTGACAGCTCTTTGGTGTTGTGCATCTCTAACCAGCTGCTATGTGAGAGGGGGTGGGGGGAGGTTGCTTGTGGGATTTATATGCTCTTGGTTAACATATTTTAGCAGGACACATTTTTTATACTGGATCACAGTAAGCATTGGAATGTACTGTAACTGCAATTTTTCCAAATGCAAATTATCCAGTTGCCGTTCATAATTAACATTCTTACATTTTACTTTTAAATTGATGCCTGTATACTTTTCCAATTAGAGGGTTTGCAGTTAAAGGGTACTGTATGTCTACATGAGCAGAAATACACAACTGGGAATGCTGACTAGAACTGGAATATTCCTGTGTTGTTCAGGCAAAGGTTCAAAACTCTTCTTTGTAATATAACCAATAGTCCAGAGCAGGGGTTAATTCAACAGAGCCCTACAAAGTTAACAAAAGAACAATTTGTCACTGTGGTCCATCCATGTGGAACATTGATTTATTAGTCATATATTCATGCAAGATGCCAATTTACAACAATTTAAATCCACCGTCTTCGAAAGCACATACTGTAGCTTGGGGACTATATGAGCATACCTGCCTTTTCCATGTCAGGTCTGTGAATTTGTGAAGGTCATTAAAGTTGTCCATCAGGGGTCTTTCTGAATATACAATGTACACAAAATAGGATTAAACCATCAGTGAAAGACAGAAGTGTCAAAGCTTGCGCAAAAGCAAAAGCAACAGAAGATTTTCTTTTCTTAAGCCAACAGGGAGATCTAAAAGCTTTCACTTTAGCTTGAGCAAGCTCCTCTCCTTTCATGACAAACATGTGCTAAGAATACTACAGGGGAAAGAGCTCTTTGAAGTGGACCCATTGTTTTTTTTAAAAGGATGTTATCTTCACAGTCTTGTGTTTATTTCTGTAAAAGGCAGCAATAGTTCATCTTGGCCAGAAAGGAACCAGAAGCACTTTGCTTTGAGTCCCTTTGGACTGCCTGTTTAACTGAATGACAACAAGATTTGCTTAAACAAGAAGGATGAAAGATTGCACTGTATATATTGTCATAACAAAGAGCACAAACTTGTATTCAGTGACTGAAACTGAGTACAGTATCCCTGAAACCTTGCCAAAAAGGTCATTTGAATCAAAAAGAGCTTGGTTTATATATGATCAAATTGATCATAATTAAAGTAAATGAATTCAAGAAACATATTGCTGAATTAATACAATTGACATGTTCAATTTTAAGGAATGGTGAACAATATGGAAGGCAGACAATAGACGTATTATAGCATGTAATCTAACTGGATATAGCTGGTGCCAAATGAAAGAAAAACAGGATTAGAAACCATTATTCTGTCAATGTTCAAATTCTGTATTGTTACAAAGCTCGACGAGTCCCAGTTCCATAGGGAGAAAATGTTTCTTTTTTTATTGGCAAATGTAGGTCATGCATTTTAAATACTTTTCATGAATTTTTAACACATTGGATCATTGCTTGAAACGTATTGAAATCTCTTCGATGTGCTGACAAATTAATGATACAGTTACAAATTTAATATCATATTAAACCAAAACAAACCTCAAGGAATTTACAGACTACACTGTCACCTTGAAATTCTGTCACAAACCTGAATGCTGCTGAGGGAACTGCTCATTTGTCTATAAGAACAGATGCATTGACAGAAAAAAAAACTGGAAGCAGGGGAGTTCAAGTTTTCAAATTAATTTTGGTTTTTGTTGCTGAATGTGAAATTCACTGTCTCTGTTGAACTCCCGTCAGTGTATTTGAACAGATGCAGTAGTTAAATGTTTTTCTGGTCTAGTCTTGCAAACAGTAGAATTTTTAAAATAGAGAGTTATGTGGTTATGTAAAGCTTCTTTTTAAGGTTATATCCAACTAGGAATCTATGATCCCAGTGTATTACAGCTAATCAATTTATTTTGACAGTAAAATGTTCTAGAAATAACAGTAAGAACTATTTTTTGTTTCTAAGAAGCCATGACAATGATTTTGTTTTAAAACCCATCGGATATTGATTTCTATTATATACCCACCCAATTTGGTATTATCAATTGTGCTTTATGTTTTGGCCACAGAAATGGCCCTTGTACCCATATGGTGAGAATGAGGAAGGACAGACATGCTCCTCCGACAACCAATGAACAATTAATCTTTTAATACCTCTCAAGCTCTGCAGTGATGTACAGTAGGTTTAGTACCAAATGGACCCAGAATTCCACGAAGTAGCCAGGTTAGCTGTTTCTCTGGGAGGCAGTGGAGATTACTGTCTAACTAATCCTAATCCATACTCACCAGCAACATTGAGCCAATTGTGCATCGCTGCATGGAAAGTGTGGAGAATGTGGTACACTCTCTTGCCTCCTCTGTGCCTGTGCTCAAATTCTCTGACCTCTGTTCTCCAAAGTGTTTCTATCCCTGCTGCCTTCTCCTCACCCCCTCACACATACAGAAGTCTCAACAGCTGAAAGGTATCTCTTCTTTCCACTTTCCAGCGTGGAATTAACCTTTACATGTTTCTGTGCAACAAACGCTCGCTGAAGTTGATCCCCACTTCAACTCTTACTGGTTAAGCCACTCGGGAACCACATACATTATATTTTTGGATTTTGCTTTTCTTTACAAATATCGTTTGATGTTCTGTTCTTGTCTTTTATGTTCTGTTGTTTTGTGTTCTGGCCTTCCTGCCTCAACATTATTTAAATAATCACGCTGTATCTCTCAGAACAACTACAAGAATTTGACAAACATTCTGTTTCTGAAACAAAATGACAAGATATACTGCTGTACAACATATAGTATGTACTGTATGTTGTAAGCATTAACAATTTAATCAAGGCCTCCATTAGAGGTTTTGTACAATTATAACAGCTCTTAGTGTTAATCTCATACAGGAGTTCAAAGACACCAAGCAACTGTTCTTTAAATTATTATTTAGCAATCTTTAATTAAAAAAAGTCAGAATCTAATCAGAACAATTTAAACTGTACCTGAGCATACAAAGTGAAGATTTGAAGTACCCAATCCATTACACTTACCAATCAAATCTAACTGTCATTTTGTCAGGTGTTGTTCAATATTAACATTAGCTGTTCCTCTCCTGAAATGCGTGAAAGCTTAAAACACAGTCCTGTCAGAATTAGTCATTATCTTAACACAAAGTGGCTAACATTTCAGTACAAGATCTGCACAGAATTGTGTTTCTACATAGAAAAGGAAAACCATTGAGTAAAACGAATACTTCAATGTAAAATAGGGCTTTTAATTCACAAACTGACTAAACTGACTTGTATTGGATAAGTGAACGTTTTAGTTGCTGATACACCAGACTGCTTCAGGAACCTTAAATTAATGTATTTAAGTGTTCAGCCAGCTCTGAGCAAATAGCAAACCTGGGGAGCTATGATGTCTTTTATTTCTTCATTATTTTTTATGCATGTGAGTTTCATTGGTCCATGTTTGATGTGTAATGGAGAAATAATCTCATATTCCTTATCTTTGCTTCTCTGCCTCTTTGAACCCCAGGCCTAAGCTGAGCCAAAACATTTATAAAATTGTATGTCCTTATCTAGAATGCAATGCAAATACAACACATCACCCATTCTCTTCATCTCGTTTAGGGGTTAAAATCCTCTTTTTACTTTGATGGCCTTCATCTGACAAAAGTCCAATGCCAGTGAAAGCTGTAATGAAAATCACACCTGAGTAATTTTTAAATCTACAGATAGGGGAAATGCATGAAGAAACTAAACCTTGATTTGGACAGGAGGTATGCTGAGATAAGTATGCTTACAATAAATGAGAAAGATATGGGTGTTAGACAAACACTTCCCCAAAAATATATTTTTTCAAAAGGAGATATTTTATAGATATTCATTTCGCACATTCTTTGGTATCCACATCCACATAAAAATGTATTGTACAGTACGTCAAAAGACTTTTTTTTTGCTCCTTCTTATGAAATGGATAGGATTTGTTCATTTCAGTGCTGACTCGCTTCAGTGTAAATTTAGACCTAATCCCTGGATAATTTTACATTCATGGCAGACTCAGTCAGAAGAAGTGCAGAACAGAATCAGAGATAACCCCTATCTCTGTCTTCTATATTATCTCAAATCCACCACAAATATGGAGAAAATAGGATTAGCTAACCAAAATTGAAAAAGGATGCATCTATTTTTTTTGTCTGTATTCTGTATGTTTATAAATCGAGGAAAATAATTCAGATTATGGATGCGATATAGATAGATAAAGATATAACTATTTTCAAAAACAATTGACCATTGAAAATCAGATGAAGTCTAACACTTTTTAAATGATATTCAAAAGGTTTCTCAATGAATGATTTCTTTGCTCATTGCATACCTTCCCATGTATTTATTTTTGGCACTGCTGTG